TCTGTTCGCACCTGTTATGTATGAGGAGAGGAGCCTTAGGTGTTCACCAGGATGGGGCCACCCAGGACGCTGGGTTGTGACACTGTATATGTGGGGACGGGGTCAGAGAGGGACAATGGTGGTCCCCTCTGCTGCTTCCCGCCGCTGGGGCCTGCATGATCTGTCTCACTGCTAGCTCCTTTGTCTGTTTTATCTGCGCGAGAATGTGTGCCCACGATCAGCCCTCAGTGAGTCCACCGCCTTTCGCCCTCAGTGGGTCTGCCCGCTACTCCACACCTGGGATCCACCCACGGCTGCTGGCGCACCTGGGTTGCACACCCAGGTCAGTCAGGTGGATCTTTTCTGCCTGACTCCGCTCTGCTGCTGGCTCTGCCCCTCTTACTGGTTTGGCTGAAGGGTTTGTTGTTGTCAGACTTCCGTGTAGTTCAATTTTCTGTGGTTTGGCTGTGTTTTTGTTGCTAAAACTTTGTTGTTTTTAAACTTAGTTGTGTGAGAAGGTGCAGTGCTTCCACCTACGCCTCCATCTTGGTGGAAGTCCTCACCACTTTGTTTTGAACTTTTTCGTCATCCCAAAGTAAAACTCTGTATGCATCAAACAATAACTCCCCGTTATTCTCTCCCCTAAGTTTTTGGCAACTACCATTGCACTTTCTTTCTCGATGAATTGGGTATCTTATGTGAGTGGAATCATACAATATTTGTCCTTTTGTATCCGACTTATTTTACTAAGAATAATGTTTTTTATTACAGAATATTTTCAAGATTCACATATGTCATAGCATATATGTCAAAACTTCATTTCTTGTTAATGCTGAATTCTGTTGTATATATATGTATGTATGTGTATGCATATGAAGTCTGCTCAGACAGTATATAGCCATGCAAATATGAAAAGTAGAGGCATAATGAAGAAGATATAAGAAACGTTGTACATAGGACAATGACACCTCACTCCCCTTCAAAGTAGGCACCTTGAGACCTCATACAGTTTTCTGAATCCATCAGCTGAACCTTCATATTTTCCTGAAACTCATCGAAGGTCTGAAATTTCTTCCTTGCAAAGGTGATTTTAGTTGTGGGAAAAGCCAGAAATCGGGCTGTAACAGAGCTGAGTCACATGGGTGATTTGGTGATTTGATGTTTGGCCAAAAAACTCTGCCTGAGACATGAGGCATGAGTGGGCTCACTGTCATGATGAGGCTGCCCATCACCTGTTGCCCATAGCTGTGGCCCTCTGAATCATCTGCATAGTTTTTGAGGCAGAATGTTCCAGGTTGATGCAAAATTTGATGCGGGTTCATTGCTCTACTCGCTCAGTCATCTTGATCAGCATGGGACTTGAAACTTTTGCTCCATTTCCTACCTGAGCCAGTTCACCCCTCCTTAGGCAACCTGGTGGCTCCTGCCCCTGGGAGGTCACCATATTGAGTCTGAACTTAGTGAGGACACTTGTTCAGCATAGCACACTAGAGCCTAGAACTCCTGTGCTCAAGTGGTCCTCCTGCCTCAGCCTCCCACGTGGCGGGGACTACAGGCATGCGCCACCGTGCCCTGCTTGCTCAGTCATTTTGAATGCTATGGCCACCCAGTACATATGGCTCACTCAATGGCATCTACTGCCCCGATTGACTAGTAGAGTGAAGTCGTCATTGTTCACACATGTGTATTCCAGTCCACTCTCCTTGGCTGCCAGTTCACATGGATGTTGCACAAAGTGTTCTCATTATATTAGCAGTGGCTGGATGTTTTCCAGACAAACCGCATACATCACATTTTGTCTACCCATTTATATGACAATGGACTTTTGAGTCGTTCCCATCTTTTGGCTGTTGTGAATAATTCTGTGAACATGGGTGCACAAATATTGTTTGAATCCTTTTCTTTCTTTTGGGTATGCACCCAGAAGTGGGATTTCTGCATCATGGTAATTCTGTTTAATTTTTTTTAGAAACTGCTAAATGGTTTTCTCCAGTGGATGCATCATTTTACATTCCTAACAGCAATGTACAGGGTTCGGATTTTTTCCACATTGTTGCCAACACTTGCTATTCAAAGTGTGTATGTTGTATTTTTATAGTGCTGGAAATTCAGTTGAGGCTTTTTGCTGATATCAAAGTATCAGAAAATGTTTTTTAAAGAGTAATATATCGTATTACTAAGAAATCTTAGATGACATTTTTCCTGCAACCCATTTCCTTTATTTTTTAGAAAATATTTTATTTGTAGAGAGGTGGAGGGTTGGAGAAAGAGAGCGACAGAAACATCAATGGGTTCTTTCTCGAGTATGCCCCTTCTGGGGCCAAACCTGCAGCCCAGTCATGTGCCCAGACTGGAATCGAACCAGCATCCTTTTGGTTTGCAGGAGAGTGCCCAAGAAATTGAGCCACACACTTTTAGGCACTGTTTCCTTTTTGGTAAGAAGGAAGAAATTATCTTCATGCAGCCACAGTTTACTTTGCCTACTGTTTTCCATAATCAGTGTGTGTATGGGAGAAAGGGAATTGCGCATCTGTTTCCTATGCTGATTTTTTTTAAATTTATTTTTATTGATTATGCCATTACAGTTGTTCTATTCCCCCTTCATTCCCCGCCACCCTACCCCCCATCTCCACCATTACCCCCCCTTTAGTTTATGACCATGTGTCTCAAGTTCTTTAGATTCTATATTTCCCATACTATTCTTGCCCCCCCCATCTATTTTATATCTACTGTCTACGCTATTTATTTTCTGTACCTTCTCCCCCCTTCTCCTCCTCCCACTCCCCTGTTGCTAACCCTCCTTGAGATCTTCATTTCTATGTTTCCACTCCTGATCTAGCTGTCCTTTTAGTTTGCTTTTGTTTTAGGTGTGGTTGTTAATGACTGTGAGTTGCTGTCTTTTCACTGTTCATGTTTTTTTAACTTCTTTTACTTAGATAAGTCCCTTTAGCATTTCATAAAATAAGGGCTTAGTGATGATGAACTCCTTGAATTTGATCTTATCTGAGAAGCACTTTATCTGTCCTTCCGTTCTAAATGAAAGTTTTGCTGGATAAAGCAATCTTGGTTGTAGGTCTTTGGATTTCATGACTTGGAATATCTCTTTCCAGCCCCTTCTTGCCTGTAGGGTTTCTTTTGAGAAATCTGCTGACAGTCTGATGGGAACTCTTTTGTAGGTGACTGTCCCCTTATCTCTTGCTGCTTCTAGGATTCTCTCCTTCATTTTAATCTTAGCTAATGTAATTATGATGTGCCTTGGTGTGTTCCTCCTTGGGTCCAACTTCTTTGGGACTCTCTGAGCTTCCTGGATTTCCTGGAAGTCTATTTCCTGTGCCAGATTGAGAAAATTCTGCTTTATTATTTGTTCAAATTAGTTTTCCACTGGTGGCCATGCCTTTCCCCCTTCTGATACCCCTATAATTCGGATGTTGGAGCGTTTAAAGATGTCCTGGAGGTTCCTAAGCCTCTCTTCATTTTTTTGAATTCTTGCTTCTTCACTCTTTTCTGTTTGGCCAGCTTCTTCACTCTTTTCTGTTTGGCCATTATTTGCTTTCTTCTAGTCCACTCCATTAATTTGAGTCCCAGTTTCCTTTTCATCGCTGTTGGTTTCCTGTGCAATTCCATTCATTTCAATTAGTTTCGCCTTCATATGTTTCTCTAATTTGTGGCTATAATCAACCAGTTCTGTGAGGATCCTGATGACCAGTGTTTTAAACTGTGCGTCTGAGAGTTTTGCTATTTCTTCTTCGCTTAGATTTATAGGCTCTGGGGCTTTGAGATCTTCTTGAGCCATTTTTGGTCTGTTCATGCTCCTTAAGTATGAGGAGCGGCGCCTTGGACTCCCAGGTCGCTGGGTTGTGACGCTGTATGTGGGGGCGTGGTCAGAGTGGGGAAATGGCGACCCCCCTCAGCCGTTTCGCACTGCTGGGTGAGGAGCAAAACCTTAAGTAGTTCACCAGGGCAGAGTTCACCAGGGCAGGGCCAGTCAGGTCGCTGGGTTATGACGCTATATGTGGAGGCTGGGTCAGAGTGAGGAAATGGCCGCGCCCTCTGCTGTCGCTGGCCGCTGAGGCCTGCTGGGTCCCGTCCAGTCGCCCACTCCCTCACTTGTCTATCTGCACATGAATGCGCAACCACAGTCAACCTGCATCCCTGCTCCCTCGCTGTTTCCCCGCCGTCGCTCCCTGGGTCGCTCACTAGGTCCAACCCTGTGCCTGGATTCCACGCGCCTGAGTCCGTCTGACCGAGGTTTTCCTGTGCAATCCCACTCCTCCAGCTGCTGGTTTCACCCCTCTTACTAGTCAGGCTGAAGAATTTGTTGTTATCAGACTTCCGAAAAGTTCAATTTTTTGTGTTCTGGCTGTGTTTTCTATTGCTAATATTTAGTTGTCTCTAAACTTGGTTGTGTGAGAAAGCACGGAGTCTCCACCTATGCCTCCATCTTGGCGGAAGTCGAGGAAGAAAACCCCCTATGCTGATTTTTTGATAAACTATTGCTAGGTTGTGAAGTGTATCACTTCTTCCTTCTACTTGGGAGAAATTTTAACTTGTTCTGGGATTTATATGGGGGGATGATGCTGTCCTAATTTTATGGAAATAAAACTAACTGGATCCGTGGCTCCAGTGGATTGAGCGTGGACCTGCCAAATGGTTACCGATTTGGTTCCCAGTCAATGCACACACGTGGGTTGAGGGCCAGGTCCCCAGTGGGGGGTGTGTGAGAGGCAACCACACACTGATGTTTCTCTTCCTCTTTCTCCTTGCCTTCTCCTCTATCTGGAAATAAAGAAATAGAATCTTAAAAAAAAACAAAAACAACTAAGTGGAAAGTTACAGGATAGATGCTCTAATTTATAGGATAAGAGTTTGTGGCAAATAATACTTGGGTTTTGAGCCTTATTTTTCTCTCAATGCAGTGTAAATTAAAGCAGTCTGTGGAGGACCTCATACCTATAACGTTATGTTTAGCAGGACACTGAGGATTTCTAACCGCTCACTTTCTTCTTTCTTCTCTCACACAGGGAGCATGGCCCAAGTAGCAATGTCTGGCCTGCCAGTTGAGGATGAGGAGTCTTCAGAGAGCAGGATGGTGGTGACATTTCTCATGTCAGCTCTTGAGTCCATGGTGAGACGGCTTTACAGTTCTATCAAACATTCCATATTCGGATGGATATGGGCTTGTGGATGAGATTGGTTTGTTCTTGTAAAACATATGGTTTTCAGTTTACTAATAAGAAGAATATATTTTACTTGAGTAATAGTTATGGATTTAAGCCTTTCAAATCAAATTTTATTACCAGTTTCAGAATATTCTTAACTTTTCTAAATGTTTAATATTTTACATTTAATTTCAACTTTTATTTACAAATATCTTAGGTAATCCCTTGTTTTGCAAGCATTAATTTTATATGTAATATTGGAGTTTCTCAGAATGAGTTGGTATATTATAGTGTGGTGCTGGTGTTTTATTATATCTGTATAAATGACATTACCCGAATTTTGGGCCATAAGAGTGTTCACTATTTTATATCTTTTACTTTGTGGTGCTGTGCATTCATAATTTCCCTTACTCTGCTACCTGATTCTAAACATGCAGTGTGTTAGCTCTTAGCTCTTTATTTTCAAAAGACCTATATTAAACATAATTACAGCAAAATACTAGTGTTACAACTTGCTTATCATGCTTTTAAATAGGTAGCTGGAAATATTGTGTTTGATCTCATAGATTTTTTTTAAAAACAGCATCAGACTTCATTTCTTTTTTTTTTAATCTTCACCTGAGGATATATATTTATTGATTTTTAGAGAGAGAGGAAGGTGAGGGGAGAGAAATAGACATCGACTTGAAAGAGAAACATTGATCACTTGTGCCCGGACCAGGGATTGATGCAACCTAGGTATGTGCCCTAACCGGGGATTGAACCTGCAACCCTTAGGTGTACGGGGACAACGCTCTAACCATCTGAGCCACCTGGCCAGGGCTAGGTATTTTTTTGACACATTGAAATAAAATATTCTAAGTTGGAGGAAGGTGTATTTTCTGTGTTAAGTGTTGACTGGTATTAGGGTGTGTTTTAACCCCATAAATCGCAGTATGACATAGTTTTAGATTCCTTTTTCTTTTTACATTAGGGAAATTTTTTTATCTAATAATTTAAAATTATCTCCTTAAAGAAAGAAAAATTTTAGAATGGTTAGTGGCTAACGATTCTATTTGGAATCATTATTTTCTGAAAATCACTTATTTCTTTCTTGTAATCATAAAAACTGTCAAAAGTTGGGCCTTAATGTTAAGTATTAATTTAGAGATTAAATCTACTCTGTTGGCATCAAAATATTTTCTGCTGATCTGTGCATAGAATGAACATAGGGTAGGTCACATAGGATCTGTTTTATTCCTTAGAATGTTTAGAGTTTTCTTATCGTTGTCGGTCACTATTATTCTCAGCTTTTATTTCCTCCTCACCAGCAGGAGTAAGAGATCTCTCCTCATGTTCCTAGGTGTATGTTATGAAGTATAATTATAGGCGTATAGGCTGGTTTTGTCCTTCCCTTGGCCTATAGGTTTCTTTGATCTGATCCTTGGATAGTGCATGAACCTTGCTTTGCTGTGTCGTAAATACTGCCTTTGGTGACGGGGCTGTCCAGCTAAGAGGGTGGATAGTGGGACAAGAACGCACTGCTCTTACAGGTGAGCAGCCAAAGTGCTTCTCATACAAATGCAGTGTAACAGAGTTTGGGTATAGCATGATTCTTCCTGCTGGGAACGACTTTTGGCTCACCTCTTGGTCTGATGTTCTTTACTACGGCTTTATTATAGTTCAAAAGATTTCTGCATTGCAGCAGGTATAACATTATTTATTCTAGATGACATTTTAAAGTAATACATGGAAGCACTTTCCATTTAAGAAATCAGAGGGCTGTTATTGTACAAATCAAGGAGAAATGGAGGAAAGATGTGGTTTTCAACAAATGAGAACAGACTGTTTGGCAAAAAAAATTAAAAATTTAGTGTTTATCATGTGTCAGGTTAAAATCTAGATGAGGAAAAATAAAAAATAGTTATATTAAGAAGAATTTAAAAATCAGAAAAATTTTGTAATTGTGTATTTAATTCTGAAAGCAGCTTTCTATGCCTGACATTGAGGATTTTTATGCATCAGTGGGGAAACACTACTAACACAATAGTAAAAATAGCAAAGGATATATTAATTGACAGAAAACTACCTAAAGTACAAAACTCTTTCATTTTAATACCAATCAGTGGCTTATTGACTATACTAATCACCCTTTTAAATGTTTCTGGGAAATTTACACAATAATATTTGCTTGGTAGGGAATTGTTAGCTCTTTTAGAACTACAAGTGGGAGTATAAACTGAAAGAGCCTTGCTTTCCCCTTTTTGTAGATTTTGAGAACCTTAAAAGTATTTATTTTCAGCCCTGGCTGGTGACTCAGTTGAACTGTTGTCCTGTACACGAAAGAATTTCATCCCTGGTCAGGGCACATGCAGGAGGCAACTGATCAATATTTCTCTCACATTGATGTGTGTCTCTCTCTCCCTCTCTCCCCTTCCCTTCCCCTATCTCTTTATAAAATCTATAAAGATCCTCAGCTAAGGATAAAAAAGAAAATATTTCCTTCCTTCCTTCCTTCCTTCCTTCCTTCCTTCCTTCCTTCCTTCCTTCCTTCCTTCCTTCTTCCTTCTTCCTTCCTTCCTTCTTCCTTCCTTCCTTTTCTTTCCCTCCCCCATTCTGCCTTCCTTCCTGTCTTCCCTCCCTCTCTCTCTCTCCCTCCTTCCTTTCATTTATTTATTTTTTGAGAGAGGGGAAGGGAGGGAGAAAGAGACAGAGAAACATCAATGACAGATTGCCTCTCATGGACCCTGTACTGGGGGCCTGTTCTGCAACCCAGGCATGTGCCCTGACTGGGAGTCAACCAGTGACCTTTGGTCCTCAAGCCGGCACTCAGTCCACTGAGCCACCCCAGGCAGTGGAGAAAGTATATTTACTTTCATAGTCAAAGCTTTCCATGTCTCAGTCTCTTCTGAGAAGGTCGTTCAAGATACATATGAATGTTTTGCTCCCAGATTATTATCTCAGTGTTGATTTTAGGAGTGGTAATTAGGATCGCTAACATTTTCAATAAGGTTAGCATGAAATGAATTATTGTATAGCCATAAAATGGAATGTTATACTGTATACTCTTACTAAGATTTTATAGAATATTTAATCTCATGGGAATATACTTAGTAAAAACCATTCTTAGTAAAAGTATACACACCTAAATGTTTCCAGCTGTGTATAGCTGCGGAGATACTTCTGGAGGTGGGATTATGTAATGCAGGGGTGTCCAACCTTTCTGCATCTCTAGGCCACACTGGAAGAAGAGTTGTGTTGGGCCACACATTAAATACACAGACAATAATGAAAACCGATGAAGGAAAAAAGGGCTTTAAGTAAATGTACAGTTTTTGTGTTGGGCCTCATTCATAGCCATCCTGGGCCCTCTGCGGCCCGCAGGCCTCGGATAATGGATGTTGCGCTGTGACTTCCAGACCTCTCTTTAGGACTGATGGCACTTATCACCCCAGCTCCTGTGCTTGGTAGAGGATCCCTTGCCCAAGATGTCTCTGCTTCTTTGGGAAGGGCCATTTCAGTTCCAGAGCTCTCCTGATGCAGGTGTGTTTGCTCTCAGCTCTCTGGCTCCTGCGCCCTTTGTAGTGCACAGGTGTTGTTACCGAGAGTACTCTCCAGTAAGCATGTATGTGTACCTGAGTCGGTTTCTTATGAATTTGACCTTTAACAGATCAAATGGCATGTGTTTGCAGGGATCACTGCCTTTTTTCTTATAAATTCTGTAGTTTCTTCTGTTTAAAATCAGCAGTAAAAACTATAGGAAAATAGCCCTGGTTGGTGTGGCTTAGTGGATTGAATGCTTCCTGTGAACCAAAGAGTTGCCAGTTGGATTCCCAGTTAGGACACATGCCTGACTTGTGGGCCAGGTCCCTGGTTGGGGTGGGTATATTAGAGGTAATGACACACTGATGTTTCTCTCTTTCTCCCTCCCTTCCCCTCTCTAAAAATAAATAATAAAATCTTTTAAAAAAACTATTCAAAAAGAAACCCCCCTTGAAAAAATGGGGACTCTTTGTTTTTGTATATAACTTAAGGCCAAAAAGTAGAAACTTTGTTTCCAGGTTATGTATTAAGACAGTTTAAGGGATAAGATTTTTTTATTCACCCATCAGAAACAATATTGCCGGGGTCCAGCCTCAGCAGGGTTCAGGGTCCCTGAAGGATGCATGGCGCAGGCAACAAATGATGAGTCAGATACCCGATTGGATGCTGGAGAGCAGCCAGGCTCTGTGGGTTTGACCAAACTCTCAGAGTTTGATTTAGGCTTTATTTTTATAGGATTGTTGTATAACGTTAAAGGAACAGGTGCATGGCATGATCAATTAAGCAGAAAAAACCAATACAGAGGTAACCAGGAAAAGTACAAGAATTTCCATAGTTTCAGTTATGTTAAACAAAGGTTGTTTTGACCAGGAGAACGATTAATCAAACAATTTGAAATAGCTCTATGTACAGAGTTTGAATGTCTTATTGTTTATTAAAGGCCTTAGAATTTGGCATGGGGCAAAAGGGTATGCTAGACCAAACAGAGGTTTGGAAATTCATTATGAGGCCTTTGTGATATCTAACTTAGCTATCTTTCTGTCTAAAATGTTTCTTTATGTAATATGGACTCTAACTCCTTGGTAATTGTTTCTGCGTGCTTAGTTTGTAGTAGTTAACCAGCTTCTCCTGTTTCTTTGCCTGTCTAATTCTAATTAATATAAATTCCTGTCCATGGAAGAGGAGGGGCTGTTACTCCATCAACTTTTAGGTATTCAGGTGCTACTTCATTAGGGGGGACTTTGTTCTCTGGCCAAGAAATCATTTTGTACAACTTCATTGGAATTCTGCGGATCATTGGACCTGAAATGCAGGTGTCTGAAAATCCGCCACCTATTTATCGCAAAGACAAACATGCAAGGAGAGATAGACAGGAAGACCAGCCATAGTTGCCTCTGCTGTGCAGATGCATCTCATCCATCCTGACTGTGTCAAGGGACGGCTGTTGGTTGACTCCTGACACAATACTTTTAAATTATATCATATGTAACACTTCATTTTTTCTATTTCAGTGTAAAGAACTGGCCAAGTCCAAGGCAGAAGTGGCCTGCATCGCAGTGTATGAAACAGACGTGTTTGTCGTTGGAACTGAGAGAGGACGTGCTTTTGTCAACACCAGAAAGGATTTTCAGAAAGATTTTGTGAAATACTGTAAGTATTATATTTTTTGCTTTTGTATTTCATAGATATTAAAGCTGAATATTTGTGCATTAACACATCATATTATATTCTAAAGGAGAATGACACTTATAGTAAAAAAGTACTTTCTGAAATGTCCGTGGAGACATTGCAAAATGTTCAAAATGAGCCCTGGCCAGCGTTGCTCAGTGGATTGAGTGCCGGACTATGAACCGAAATGGTGCTGGTTCCATTCTCGGTCAGGGTACATGCCTGCTTGCGGGCCTGGTGCCCTGTTGGGGGCTCGAGAAAGTCTAGAGAGAGGCCTAGAGAAAGTCACTGTTGGGTATTAACACCTATTCCCTTGCACAGTATGACAATTTTGTATCTGTATTTAACCTAACATTGTTCATAGCTTTTATTGGGTTTTAATTTTTTTGAAGATTTATTTATTTTTAGAGAGAGGGGAAGGGAAGGAGAAAGAGAGGAAGAGAAATATCAATGTGTGTTTACCTCTCGCACGCCCCCTAACTGGGGACCTGGCCTGCAACCCAGGCATGTGTCCTGACTGGAAATCGAACTGGTAACCCTTTGGTTTACAGGCCTGTGCTCAATCCACTGAGTCACACGAGCCAGGGCCATAACTTTTATATTAAGTGTGATACAGAATTTTTTAAAATACAGAAAGAGAACAATAAAGATGAGTATGTTTATAGGCATATAATATACTTGTTGTTAAGATCCAAATTTAAATTTCCATTATCAAGTTAGATCCAATTTATGATAAGTCAAGCAGATTATGGGTAAGTAAAAATAGGCTTCTTAATTCATGAATTGCAATTCACAATTACATTTTTAAAAAACATCTTCTCTCCTTCACTATATTCCTTCCTCCCCACCCAGCTGTGAGCTTTTAAACTTTATGGTAGTAATCTGTCTTTAATTTTTTCCATTTCTTGTCACTTTATGAGTTTTTAAGAATTTGGTTATGTTTGTGTATTTGTTTATACTAATGTTGCTTCAGTGACATCTTGTGTGATGTGTCCCATGAACACTGTCATCCCACTGGCAGCCATATTTGTGTTCCTGTTCCAGGTACTGTCTTGCTTGTGTGTTTCTCCAGTGGTTGGAACTAAGCTTTACTGAAATTGTCCTCCGTTACAAATTGTAGTCATTGCCTATCAGTATTCACACTGTTTTTCTTTAAAAATTTTTTTAAAGATTTTATTCATTTATCTTTAGAGGGAAAAGGAAGGAGAGAGGGAGAGAAATATGAATGTATGGTTGCCTCTTTGTGTGTCCCCCACTGGAAACTAGCCTGCAACCCAGGCATGTGCCCTGACTGGGAATTGAACCTTGGTTGCTTGGTTCCCAGGCCCGCGCTCAATCCGCTGAGCTACACCAGCCAGGGCCACACTTTCTTTTTGTTAACACTAATTTGATGCAATGATGAATAATTTTTGGAGAAAATTCTTGGTTCCCTAATAATTTTATAAATTATTTTGCAGATATGGATTAATACAGGTCTTCTGAAGCCCAATCAATAGGTTTGTGGTCAGTTTTAGAAAATACAGGGGAGAAATCAAAGCTCTTTTCTGTGCTTTAGAAAAGCATTAGAAATAATATAATGTGAATAACTTGTGAAATTTAGAGTTTTCTAGTTATGGTATTGTTAAAAAAAAAAGAAGAAAGATGTGAAATCCATTTTAGTGGTTATATTCAAACCCACTACATCTAGAATAATATCATTCAACATGTAATCAATATAAAATTATTAATGGAATATTTTGCATATTAGTTTTTATAGTAAGTCTGAAAAATCCAACCTGGTAAACGTAAAACACATCTTAATCTGGACTATCAACGTTTCAAGTGCTCAGTAGCTGTAGTTGTCTAGTGGCTGTTGTGTTTGAACTCTGCAAGGCTAGAATACGTTTTGTGTTGATAATCTTCCCTTATTTAAGTTTGTAGTTGATAAATTACTCTTAAGGTAAAATTAGTAGCTTCCCTAGCCAGGTAGTTCAGTTGGTTAAAACATCAGTCCCATGCACCAAGGTTGTGGATTTGATCTACTGTCAGGGTACGTATAAGAAACAACCAATAGATGCATGAATAAGTGGAACAGCTCATTGCTGTCTGTCTCTCTCTCTCCTGTCAGTTAAAAAAAACCATGTAACTGATTTATAGGATTTTTAGTTAAAGCTATGCTTATGTCACAGATGATAATCATTTCTTATTTTCATTCAAGTAACACGTCTTTTAGCTTTTATTAAAAAAATGTTTACAAGATTTTATTTATTTACTTTTAGAGGGGAAGGGAGGGAGAAGTAGAGGGAGAAAAACATCAGTGTGTGAGAGATACATTGATCGGGTTGCCTCTCGCATGCCCCCAACTGGCGACCTGGCCCACAAACCAGGCATGTGCCCTGACTGAGAATCAAATCAGCCACCCTTGGGTTCCTGATCAAATCAGCCACCCTTGGGTGGCTGACCCTTGGGTTCACAGGCTGGTTCTCAATCCACTGAACCATGCCAGCCAGGGCTATCTTTTTATTTTTATAATTTACCCTCACCTGAGGATACAGTTACTGATTCTAGAGAGAGAGGAAGGGAGTTGGTGGGGGCAGGGAGAGAGAGAAAGAGAAACATCAATCAGTGACTTCCTGTACATTCATTCCCCAGCTGGGGGTGGAACCCACAACCTTTTTGGTGTATCGGACTACATTCCAAACAACTGAGCTACCTGCTCAGGGCTTTGCTTTTATTTTTAAAGTTCCCCCCCTTCCCTTTCCTTTCTGTGTTTATATAATACATCATAAATGTTAGAATATTGGAAAAAATAATCATGCTGAAAGCTGGACAATAAGAAATGGATGCAAGCCTTTGTATATCATTAATTATTTTACAGGTGTTGAAGAAGAGGAAAAGGCAGAGATGCATAAAGTGAAATCTACAACCCAGGCAAATCGGATGAGTGTAGATGCTGTAGAGATTGAAGCACTCAGAAAAACCGTTGAGGACTATTTCTGCTTTTGCTATGGTAAGATTATATACTTGAATTTCTTAAAAAATAGATTATGTGACTGAGTTTCCTAAAAGGTAGGTTTAACATCATACAACACACTCTCACAAATTGAATGAATTTATCTGTCATTGTTGGATGTTAACATTAGGAACAACAGCCTTATTTTCTGTTTGCAGTGTGAAGGAACCCAGAAACAAATACAGTATTAGAATTTTTTTTTTTTCATTTAGAGCAGGTTTAGAGTCACAGCAAAATCAAGGGCAGGTGCGCAGATCTCCCGCATACCAGTATCCCTCACACATGCGTAGCCTTTTGCCATCAGGATCCTGCACCAGAGAAGCTGCACCGGCACATCATAATCATCCAGAAGGAATTGTTTATTTTGTATATGTATGCCAGTGTCTCAGGAAAAAAACCACCTTTTGTTAATCTAATCATGTGGTAAACAAAACTCTTTTAAGGAAAAAAAGTGGTCAGAGGGGGGCGATACAGGTTATGGTGTAAGGTCGTACGTAAAATTGAACTCTGGGGGATGGAGTTCCAGCATCCATGGGCTCAATGCGTCATACATACTGACAGCATGACAGAATCCAGTCATTTGTAAAGGTAGGTTTTATTCATCTAGTAAGTTTTCAGTGAGAATATTAATCAAAAATTGCCTCTTGTGGCAGCATTTGGATTTGTCAGGTTCCCATGTTCTGAGGCTGAGTTGTAAATGGACAGATTGTGTTGTACCAGAGTGGGACCATGGCAAAGAAAGAGAGTAGTGCAGGCAATTGACCATTGTTCCTGTCAGTGTAGGTTTATATAAGTGTCTTATGTACTTGCTTTGTTGCCCTTTGGATTTGTTTGTGGTTTAGAACTTTTGCTAACATGGGACTAGGGCCCTATGATATTTCAAAGTAGTTTTGCAATTAGATGCCACAAGATAGCATGAATACCATTTATTGACCCATGATAAACTGATGGTTTAGTTTTCAACCTTAACGTTTAATGATGTTTATCTTCTTTCCACGTCACCTCTTCTTTCCACTGTCTCCTACCCCAGGGAAAGCGTTAGGAAAATCAACAGTGGTGCCTGTTCCCTATGAGAAGATGCTGCGAGACCAGTCGGCGGTGGTGGTGCAGGGGCTTCCGGAGGGCGTTGCCTTTAAACACCCTGAGAACTATGATCTTGCAACTCTGAAATGGATTTTGGAGAACAAAGCGGGGATTTCATTTATCATTAAGAGGTAAAGTATTTGTGTCCCTTGCCCACCAATATGTACTTATATAAAATGGAATAATTCAGCTTCTTTTATTATATTTTAAAAATTAATGCTTACTGTAGAAGTCATTTAAATTTATGCTCTATAGTAATTTGGGTTTATGTATTCTTAGAATATTTTTGTTTTCTTTTAATGCAGACCTTTCCTGGAGCCAAAGAAGCACTTAAGTAAGTGATTGCTTTGCCCACGTGATAGCTGGTTGGGTTCCTAAATCCTTTGGGCCGAGTGTAATATATTGTAATGATTTCTCTTACTTCCTTTGAGAATATGATGGGAGATATTTGGAGTGGAGCATTATGATATTTATATAAACCAATGAAAAGTCTTTGAGCTGAAAAAGTAGAGTTGTTTTCAACTCTGCTACTTTGTTTATGATGTGTATTCAAAGTTTTATGGTTGCAAGATGAATATGACTTAATTTATTTAATATTTATTGAATAGGCATGGAATTATTAAGCACAAGATCATGTGGGGAGGGGATACACGACTATGTGTAAGCATTAAAGCTTTTGAGTGCTGGCAGTCTTACGGAAAAGATGAAAAAATCCATAGTCACCCGAGCAAGAATATGCTGCAGGAATAGGTAGCGAAAGTACTGTGGAAGTTTGTTGGAGGAAGGATTCTTTCATAGCCCAGGAAGGCGTTTATGAAGAAGAGAGCATAAAGATGAGCCCTGAGACTTCCACCAAGATGGAGGCATAGGTGGATGTGCCGTGCCTTCTCACATAACCAAGTTTAGAGACAACTAAATATTAGCAACAGAAAACCAGCCAGAACACGGAAAATTGAACTTTTCGGAAGTCCATTAACAACAAATTCTTCAGCCTGACCAGTAAGGGGCGAAACCAGCGGCTGGTGAAGCGGGGTTGCACAGGAAGACTCGGTCAGACGGACTCAGGCGGGCAGAATCCAGATGCGTGGAATCCAGGCGCAGGGTTGGACCTAGTGAGCGACCGCGGGGGAGATCGCGGGGGAGACAGCGGGGGAGCAGGGCTGCGTGTTGACTGTGGTCGCGCATTTGTGCGCGGGTGGACAGGCAAGGGAGTGGGCGGTTGGACTGGGGCCCGGCGGGTCCCCGCGGCAAGCGGCAGTGGAAGGTGCCGCCATTTCCCTGCTCTGACCCCACCTCCACATACAGCGTCATAATCCAGTGACTCTGAGTGGCCTGGCCCAGGTGAACTACCTAATGCGCTGATCCTCACCCAGCTGTGAGAAACAGCAGAGGGGGTCGCCATTTCCCCGCTCTGACCACGTCCCCACATACAGCGTCACAACCCAGCGACCTGGGAGTCCCAAGGTGCCGCTTCTCACACTTAAAGGGCGCGAACAGACAAGAAATGGCGCAAGAAGATCTCAAAGCCCCAGAGCCTATAGATCTAAGCGAAGAAGAAATAGCAAAACTCTCAGATACACAGTTTCAAACACTGCTGATCAGGATCCTCACAGAACTGGTTGATTATAGCCACAAATTAGACAAATATATGAAGGCGAAACTAATTGAAATGAATGGAATTGCACAGGACACCAACAGCAATGAAAAGGAAACTGGGACTCAAATCAATGGAGTGGACCAGAAGAAAGCAAATAATGGCCAAACAGAAAAGAGTGAAGAAGCAAGAATTCAAAGAAATGAGGAGAGTCTTAGGAACCTCCAGGACATCTTTAAACGCTCCAACATCCGAATTATAGGGGTACCAGAAGGGGGAAAGGAACAGCCACCAGTGGAAAACTTATTTGAACAAAAAATAAAGGAGAATTTCCCCAATCTGGAAAGGAAATAGACTTCCAGGAAATCCAAGAAGCACAGAGTCTCAAAGTAGTTGAACCCAAAAAGGAACACACCAAGGCACATCATAATTACATTAGCCAAAATTAAAATGAAGGAGAGAATCCTAGAAGCAGAAAGAGATAAGAGGACAGTCACCTACAAAGGAGTCCCCATCAGACTGTCAGCTGATTTCTCAAAAGAGACCTTACAGGCAAGAAGGGACTGGAAAGAGGTATTCCAAGTCATGAAATCCAAAGACCTACAACCAAGATTGCTCTATCCAGCAAAACTTTCATGTAGAATGGAAGGACAGATAAAGTGCTTCTCAGATAAGATCAAATTCAAGGAGTTCATCATCACCAAGCCCTTATTTTATGAAATGTTAAAGGGACTTATCTAAGAAAAAGAAGTTAAAGAAACATGAACGGTGAAAGGACAGCAAGCTCACAGTTATTAACAACCAACCACACCTAAAACGAAAGCAAACTGAAAGGACAGCTAGATCAGGAGTGGAAACATAGAAATGAAGATCTCAAGGAGGGTTAGCAATAGGGGAGTGGGAGGAGGAGAAGGGGGGAGAAGGTACAGAAAATAAGTAGCATAGACAGTAGATAGAAAAAAAGATGGGGGGGGCAAGAATACCATGGGAAATATAGAATCTAAAGGACTTGAGACACATGGTCATAAACTAAAGGGGGGTAATGGTGGGGATGGGGGGGTAGGGTGGAGGGGAATGAAAGGGGGAATAGAACAACTGTAACAGCATAATCAATAAAAAAGTTAAAAAAAAAAAAAGATGAGCCCTTAAAGAAATGAGGAGTTGCACAGGATTTTCTTTTGGAAAGTCAAGCCATTCCATTCGATGGGAAGAGTGATAGTTAGAAGACTGGGACTCCTTGGAGCAAGGTTTATTTGAGACTTTTGAAAATAAATAAGCATTGTCATTGGCAGCCTTTTAACCAATGTGAGGATAAAATGTAAGGATAATGTATACACACCCAAACCTATTTTGTTTTCTGTCAAGTAACCTTTATTTTGTTCTCATCATGATGAAAAGATGAATTTTTAGAAGCTTTATTGAAGTATAATTGACATGCCATAAAATTCACCAATTATATCATTCAGTGATTTGGGGGAGATGTACAATTAAAAAATTAAAAAACAGAGTTTTATAACCCTTGTCACACTCAAATTTGAGAATATGTCCATCATCCCCGTGTGTCACTTCATGAAGGTTATATAATTGAACTGCACAGGATGTATCTTTACAACACGTCACTCTGAGACGGCGCTTCAACCAACTGAGCTACTGGCCAGGGCCTTGAAATTAGCTTTTTACGCTGAGCATAATTCATTTGAGACATCCTTGGCCCATTGATTATGAATGTGGCCCAGGAGAAAATTGCAAATTTACTTTAAACATGAAGAGATTTTTGTGTTTTTGTTAGTGTCTGTGTATTTCATGTGTGTCCCAAGACAGCTCTTGTTCTTCAATCACGGCCCTGAGATGTCAGAATTTGGACACTCCTGATCTAGGTTGTTGGGCATATCACTATTTTTTTCCTTTTTTATTACTGGATATTAAGTATTCCATTGCGTGACTATACCACACATTTACCCATTTATCAGTTGATAGACATTTAAATAGTTCTCACTTGGCTGTTATTAACACTAATACTTTAACCGTAATTAAACAAGTTTTTATCTGTATGTACTTGAATTCGTCTTGGATATATGTATACCTAGGAGTGGAAATGCTGGATCATAGTGCAGTTTTTCATTTACCTGAGAAATTGCCAAACTGTTTTCCAAAGTGACTGTTTCTTTTTTTTTCTTTTTAATATATTTTATTGATTATGCCATTACAATTGTCCCATTTCCTCATCCATAATTCCCTTCCGCCCTGCATATCCCCTCCCCCACCATTCCTCCCCTTTAGTTTATGTCCATGTGTCACAAGTTCTTTAGATTCTATATTTCCCATACTATTCTTGCCCTCCCCACTGTCTATTTTCTACCTACCGTCTATGCTGCTTATTCTCTGCACCTTCTCCCCCCTTATCCTCCTATCAATCCCCTGTTGCTAACCCTCCATTTGATCTCCATTTCTATGGTTCTGCTCTTGATCTAGCTGTCCTCTTAGTTTGCTTTTGTTTTAGGTGTGGTTGTTAATTACTGTGAGTTTGCTGTCCTTTCACTGTTCCTATTTTTTATCTTCTTTTTCTTAGATAAGTCTCTTTAACATTTCATATAATAAGGGCTTGGTGATGATGAACTCCTTGAATTTGACCTTATCTGAGAAACACTTTATCTGCCCTTCCATTCTAAATGAAAGCTTTGCTGGATAGGGCCATCTTGGTTATAGGTCTTTGGATTTCATGACTTGGAATACCTCTTTCCAGCACCTTCTTGCCTGTAAGGTCTCTTTTGAGAAATCAGCTGACAGTCTGATGGGAACTCCTTGTAGGTGACTGTCCCCTTATCTCTTGCTGCTTCTAGGATTCTCTCCTTCATTTTAATCTTGGCTAATGTAATTATAATGTGCCTTGGTGTATTCCTTTTTGGGTTCAACTACTTTGAGACTCTGTGCTTCTTGGATTTCCTGGAAGTCTATTTCCTTTCCAGATTGGGGAAATTCTTATTTATTATTTGTTCAAATAAGTTTTCCCCTTGTTGGTCTTCCTCTTCCCCTTCTGGTACCCCTATAATTCAGATGTTGGAACGTTTAAAAATGTCCTGGAGGTTCCTAAGTCTCTCCTCCTTTTTTTGAATTCTTGTTTCTTCATCCTTTTCTGTTTGGTCATTTTTTTCCTCCTTCTGGTCCACTCTCTTGATATGAGTCCCAGTTTCCTTTCCATCACTATTGGTTTCCTGTACATTTCCCTTCATTTCAGTTAGTTTATCCTTCATATGTTCCTCTAATTTGTGACTAAAATTAACCAGTTCTGTGAGGAACTGTGCATCTGATAGTTGGCTATTTCTTGGTTGCTAAGAGTTATTGTCTCTGGGGCTTTGAGTTCTTCTTGATCCATAATGTTTTGATGTGTTCCCACCTGTTAAGTATCAGGGGTATAGCCCTAGGTGTTCACCAGGGCGGGGCAACTCAGTGGCTGGTTTGTGACACTGTATGTGGGGGCGGGGTCAGAAAGGGCCAATGGCGTTTGTTCTGTTCTCTCTTGGATTTCGGTCCCCTCTGCTACTTCCTGTAAGCAAACCAGGCCCCCCTGATGCTGGCTCCCGAGTTTGTGGGCCTGTGCACCCTCCAGGACCCTGTGGGTCTATCCAACAAACTCCCTGTAAGCCTGGGAGCTTCTTCTGGCACCTCGACCCCGAAAGTTTTTCCAGTTGATGCTTTTAGGCTTCAGTTCTTATCGCTGGGGCCCTAACCTGAGCAGTCTGTCTCACTGCTTGCTCCTTCGACTGGTTTATCTGAGTGTGAATGTGTGACCACGGTCAGCCAGCTTCCTTGCGCCTCCACTGAATCTGCCCATTGCCACCCCACACCTGGGATCTGCCAACTGTCACCTGTGTACCTGGGTTGTTCGGGCTTCTTTTTCCTGTTGCAACTCCACTCTTCGAGCCGCTGACTCCGCCCCTCTTACCAGTCTGGCTGAATGATTCGTTGTTGTCGGATTTCCGTACAGTTTCACTTTCTGTGTTTTGGTTGCATTTTTGTTACTAAAACCGTGTTGTCTTTAAACTTGGTTGTGTGAGGAGGCACAGTGTTTCCACATATGCCTCCATCTTGGCCGGAAGTCCAAAGTGACTGTTTCATTTAATGTTCTTGCTAGCATTGTTTGAGGGGTCAAGTTTTTCTACACCCCTTTGGTTTTTGCCACCCCAATGAGTATAAAATGGTATTTCACTGTGGTTTTGATTTGTGTAACCCTAATTATTAAAGTTGAGTATCTTTTCATGTGCTTACTGGACAGTCAATGTGTATATTCTTCAGAGAAATGTCTAATCAGATCCTCTCCCTGTGGTTCGTTTTCTTTAATTTTTTAAAAGATTTTATTTATTTTTAGAGAGAGGGGAAAGAGGAAGAAAAAGAGGGAGAGAAACTTTGATGTGTGAGAGATACATTGATTGGTTGCCTCTCACATGCCCCCAGGTGGGGACCTGGCCACAACCCAGGCACCCCAGGCACATGTGCTGACAGGGAATCGAACCAGCAACCTTTCAGTTTGCAGGCCAGCACTCAGTCCACTGAGCCACACCAACCAGGGCCCTTCCCACATGTTTTAATTGGGTCCTTGGTATTTTTATGACTGAGTGATAAGAGTTCTTTATATAGTCTCCCTATAAATATTATCTCTAGTTCTACAAATTGCCTTTTCACTTGCTTGATAATGTTCTTCAAGGAAGAAAAGTTTTTAATTTTTGTGAAGTTCATTTCACTTTTTATTACAGTGCTTTTGATGTTGATATCTAAGAGACTATTGGCGAATCTCAAGGTCCTGAAGATTTGATATGTTTTCTTCTGTAAAATTTTATAGCTTTAGTTCTTACATTTAGATATACTTTCAATTTTGAGATAATTTTGGTACATGGTAAGGGTATAAATTCATACTCAGTTTGTGGCAGCAGAATTTGTTGAAAAGACTATTCTTTCCTCTAGAATTGCTTTGGCATCTTTGTTAAAAGTTAGTTGACCCTGACTTTATTTCTGGGCTTTCTACATGGTGAATTATGTTGTGTGTGAACTGAGACAGTTTATTTTTTTGCAATATGAATGCTTTTTATTTCTTAATTCTGTTGATGGGGCCAGAACATCCAATAGAACATTTCACCTTGTCCTAGATGTTAGCTGGAAGGCATCCAGGTTTCTGCCGTTATGATGTAGCTGTTGTTTTTCTGTGTATGTCCTTTTTAAGACGGAGAAAGATTTCTGTGTCATGTTGAAGTTAAAATTCAGACATTTTTGTGGTCAGTATATTTTTTCCTTAAAAGTTTTCTAGATTAGGCTTAAGTCTGTTATTTGTTTTTTGTGAAATCTTTTATTTTAGAAACTTGCTTTCAAATTTTGTGGCCTGGGCATTAGTCAATGAAGATTTTGTTTGGGTTTACCTATTTTTTTTTTTTCAGAGAAAGGGAAAGGGAGGGAGAAAGACAGGGAGAGAAACATCAATGTGTGGTTGCCGCTTGTGCGCCCCCAAATGGGGACTCGGCCTGCAATCCAGGCATGTGCTCTTATGTGGAGTCAAACCCAAGACCTTTTGGTTTGTGAGATGATGCCCAACGCACTGAGCCACACCAGTGAGAACTAATGAAGGTTTCTCCAGGGTGTTTTGTAATGAGTGATCTGAATTGGTGGGTTTGTATCACTTGGCTTTCTTGCCATACCAGCTCTCAAAGTAATTGAAATGTTGTGATTGTGATGGGATTATATTTTATGCCTGTAAAGAGTTTTAGCAGCTTTATTGAGATGTATATTCAATAAACCCACACATATTTAAAGTGTACAGTTTGATAAGTTTTGACACTGTGAAACCATGAGTACAATCCAGATAGTGAATAGGTCTTTTGCCCCAGTTTCCTCACACCCCTGGGTGATTCCTCCCCCTGGTCCTTCCACCCCTGTTCCCTGGGCCACCACTGATCTGCTGTCACTCTAGATGGTTTGCATTTTCTAGATTGGTTTATGCTAATGGAGCCACATAGTATGTATCTTTTTTTGGTTTAAGTTCTTATTTGGAGACTTAATTCATGTTGTTTCATGTATCAGCAGTCCTTGTTTTTAAATTGCTGAGTAGTAGTCCATTGTATCGGTATACTACAATTTGTTTAGTCATTCAGCTGTCCATGAAAATTTGGTTTTTCATTACTTGGCTATTACAAAGAATGTGCTATGCATATTTGAGTGCAAGTCTTCATGTGACTATATATTTTCATTCCCTTTGGTAAATACATAAAGTTAAAATGGTTAGATCATATGGTAGCTATACATTTAACTTTTTAAGAAACTGCTGGACAGCCCTGGCTGGTGTGACTCAGTGGATTGAGTGCCAGCCTGGGAACCACAGGGTCACCAGTTCAATTCCCAGTCAGGGCACATGCCTGGGTTGTGGGTCAGGTCTCCAGTTGGAGGCACACCAGAGGCAATCACACACTGATGTTTCCCTCTCTTTCTCCCTTTCATTCCCTCTCTCTAAAAATAAATAAATAAAATCTTTCAAAAAAAATAAAGAAAAGCAGCTGCTGGACTGTTTTTACATGATTATTCCATTCCCACTAGCAGTGTATGAGACTACAGCTTCATCAGCATTTGGTAGGGCAGCCCCTTCCTTCCTTCCTTCCTTCCTTCCTTCCTTCCTTCCTTCCTTCCTTCCTTCCTTCCTTCCTTCCTTCCTTCCACACAAAATTCTTGATGCTAAAGTGTACAATTTATTGGGTTTTAGTATATTCACAAGATGTACAACTATCACTACCATGTTATTCCAGAGCATTTTCATTACCCCAGAAAGAAACCATGTGGTTCTCAGCAGTCCCTTTTTTCCATGTTCGCAAAACCAGCTCTAGGCTTAATAGAAATCTTTATCGTTTATTCTTCAATAGAGTCTCACTCTACATTACCAGAGTAACAGTATATTGCTGTATTTGTTTCATTGATAAAAAGAAGAGTGTTTCCTTAAAGGGAGGGTACTGTGGGTGAGGGGATGAAAGTGGCTAGATCATTGTTGTGTCTAATTCTCTTCCTCGGAAGGGAGAACAAAGGACACTTATAAACAGTGCTGTACTCATTCTAGTATTACCCACAAGTGTGAGCTCCCCTTCTGCCAGTTCATTCTATGTTTAGGGCCTTTGGGAGCATTAGTCCTATTTTGAGTGTTGAAAGAACCTAAATCTGTTTTTGTACATACAGGTGGTCGTGTGATGGTAACAGATGCTGAAAGGTCAATGTTGTCTGCAAGTGGAAGGTAAAAAAATCCCTTAGTACTAATTAACTTGCACACCTCATCAAGTTTTAGTTTTTCAATTACCGAGTTACTAGAATATTAAAAAGTCGGACATTTTGAAGTTTAATATGCAATCGACTCATTCAGGGATCCTCTGAAGATGCAGTTTTTGACTTACTAGTTCCGCATGAAAGTAGTTCTTTGGGTGAAACTGATGTGATTCTGATGATCAGATTGTAATAGACAGAAAGGCCTTATTTGTAAAGTGGAATTTGAAAGTTAATTTGCTGCTCTGTATTATTTTGTTAATACTCCCGCACTCCAAAAGTGTTCAGTTAGAACTAAAGCACTACATTCAGTTGACAAGTCATAGTTAAGAAAGAAATACGTAAATGTCACAGTAGATTCAGTTTGCATTCAGCTTGGTCAGGTGGTTGATTTTATACTGAGATCCAGGGCGTTTGAACACTGTGTGAGTGGCCCTCACCAATGCAGAGCTTCCTTTTCCTTTTAGCTGTGGCTCCATCAAAGTGAAAACTGAACCCACAGAAGATTCTGGTAAGTACTAGTGCTTTTAGAATCAACTATGACATTTAAGTAAGGAAGCCTTTTAACTTAGTAGGTTTTACTTTCACTCAGTGCTTATTATTTTTAAAAATATTTTATTTATTTATCTTTAGAGGGAAAGGGAACAAGACAGGGAGAGAAATATCAGTGTATGGTTGCATCTCATGGGTCCCCTGCTGGGAACTGGCCTGCAACCCAGGCATGTGCCTTGACTGGGAATCGAGCCACGATCGTGTGGTTTGCAGGCCCGCACTCAACCCATTGAGCTATACCCGGCAGGGCAGGAAGCCTTTTAATTTAGTAGGTTATATTTTGACTCAATACTTATTATTTTGATGAGAAGTACAAATTTATTTCAGTGGTGATATTAGTGTTAGCATATTGTACGAAACCTCAAAACATAGTAATTTGATAAATGGTAGCTAGAAATTTGCTAAATACACATTTGTAGACAGTTTTGTGTGGTTTTTTTTCCAGAAGATTTTATTTATTTATTTTTAGAGAGAGGGGAATGGAGGGAGAAAGGAGAGAAACATTAATGTGTGTTTGACTCTTGTGTGCCCCGTACTGGGGACCTGGCGCACAACCCAAACATGTGCTCTGACTGGGAATTGAACCAGAGACCCTTTGGTTCGCAGGCCAGCACTCCATCCACTCAGCGACACCAGCCAGGGCTAGACAGTTTTTTAAATAGTGTTTACTTTTCAGTTATACAGGAATAATAATGTACAATGCCACCTAGTTTCTTTTCTTTTTTTTTTTTAATTTTTTTTAATCTTTGGAAGAGAAGGAGAGAAGGAGAGAAATATCCATGTATGGTTGCTTCTGGTGCATCCCCTGGTGGGAACTGGCCCCTGCTAGGAATTGTCCTGCAACCTAGGCATGTGCCCTGACGGGGAATCGAACCGCGATCTTTTGGTTTTCAGGCCCGTGCTCAATCCACTGAGCTACACCAGCCAGGGCTCTCTTTTTTTTCTTTACAAAAATCAATATACCGCTTTTTATTTGCACACTCCCATTTTTTAAAAGATTTTTTATTTATTTATCTTTGAGAGGAAGGGAAGGAGAGAAGGGGAGAAACATCAGTGTGGTTGCCTCTCATGAGTCCCCTGCCAGGAACTGGCCTGCAACCCAGGCATGTGCCCTGACTGGGAAACGAACCGAGATCCTGTGGTTTGCAGGCCCGCGCTCAATCCACTGAGCTATGCCAGGCAGGGCTTGCACACTCCCATTTTCTACTCTCCAAGAAAACTGTTTGCCTTTTTTGCTATTTGGTTCCTGCTTCCCTATTTTTAAATGTTATGTTCATAACGTTATTTCATATAATTTTTTTAGATAGCTTTATTGAGATATATTTTGTATGCCACAGAATTTACCTATCTTAAGTGTTTTTAGTAGGTATGTAGTTTTGCAGTGGTCACCACAGTCTAATTTTAGAACATTTCCATCAGCCCGACTAGAAACCTAGCCGCTGTTTTGAGTCACCCTCTGTACCCAGCACTGATTCAGTTTTAGTAGGCAGTTGTTACCTGTGGAATCAAACAGTACATAATGTTTTACATTTTCCTTCTTTTACTTTGCATCATGTTTTGAGGCTCATGTTCAAAAAACGTTATAGTGCATTTAAGTAGTTTATACCCAAATGCTACTCCATTCTACTAGTTTACTATCTTTTCTTTATCCAAATACCATTTGGTAGACGTCTCAGTTTTCCCCACAGTTTGGTAGTTTTGAATACCACTGCTTTGAACATCCACTTACTTATCTTTGCGTGGAAATATGTCTGTGTTTCTTCTGAGAGAATATCAGGAGTGTTGCTGTGTCTGTGGTTAATTCTATGCTTAACTTGAGCTGCCGACAAACTTTCCCCAGTGGCTGCACCATTTTGTGCGTTAACGCCAGCGGATGAGGGTTTCCGTTTCTCCATGTCGCGGTTGGCGCTTGTTATTGTCTTTTTTTGTTGTTATAGTTGTCCTGGTGAATGTTCTGTTTCTTTTCTTTGCTTTTATTTTTTTTTCGGGGGGGGATTAACATTGAATTAAATTAATTTAATTTTATTTTATTTTTTAATTTTTTTATTGATTATGCTGTTACAGTTGTTCTATTCCCCCCCTCATTCCCCTCCACCCTACCCCCCCATCCCCACCATTACCCCCCTTTAGTTTATGACCATGTGTCTCAAGTCCTTTAGATTCTATATTTCCCATACTATTCTTGCCCCCCCATCTTTTTTCTATCTACTGTCTATGCTACTTATTTTCTGTACCTTCTCCCCCCTTCTCCTCCTCCCACTCCCCTATTGCTAACCCTCCTTGAGATCTTCATTTCTATGTTTCCACTCCTGATCCAGCTGTCCTCTTAGTTTGCTTTTGTTTTAGGTGTGGTTGTTAATAACTGTGAGTTTGTTGTCCTTTCACTGTTCATGTTTCTTTAACTTCTTTTTCTTAGATAAGTCCCTTTAACATGTCATGTAATAAGGGCTTGGTGATGATGAACTCCTTGAATTTGATCTTATCTGAGAAGCACCTTATCTGTCCTTCCATTCTAAATGAAAGTTTTGCTGGATAGAGCAATCTTGGTTGTAGGTCTTTGGATTTCATGACTTGGAATACCTCTTTCCAGTCCCTTCTTGCCTGTAAGGTCTCTTTTGAGAAATCAGCTGACAGTCTGATGGGGACTCCTTTGTAGGTGACTGTCCTCTTATCTCTTTCTGCTTCTAGGATTCTCTCCTTCATTTTAATTTTGGCTAATGTAATTATGATGTGCCTTGGTGTGTTCCTCCTTGGGTCCAACTTCTTTGGTATTCTCTGAGCTTCCTGGATTTCCTGGAAGTCTATTTCCTGTGCCAGATTGGGGAAATTCTCCTTTATTATTTGTTCAAATAAGTTTTCCACTGGTGGCTGTGCCTTTCCCCCTCCTGGTACCCCTATGATTCGGATGTTGGAACGTTTAAAGATGTCCTGGAGGTTCCTAAGACTCTCCTCATTTCTTTGAATTCTTGCTTCTTCACTCTTTTCTGTTTGGCCATTATTTGCTTTCTTCTGGTCCACTCCATTGATTTGAGTCCCAGTTTCCTTTTCATTGCTGTTGGTGTCCTGTGCAATTCCATTCATTTCAATTAGTTTCGCCTTCATATATTTGTCTAATTTGTGGCTATAATCAACCAGTTCTGTGAGGATCCTGATCAGCAGTGTTTGAAACTGTGCGTCTGAGAGTTTTGCTATTTCTTCTTCGCTTAGATCTATGGGCTCTGGGGCTTTGAGATATTCTTGCGACATTTTTGGTCTGTTCTGGCCCTTTAAGTGTGAGAAGTGGTGCCTTGGACTCCCAGGTCGCTGGGTTGTGACGCTGTATGTGGGGGCGTGGTCAGAGGGGGGAAATGTCGACCCCCTCTGCTGTTTCTCACAGCTGGGTGAGGATTGGCGTCTTAGGTGGTTCACCAGGGCCAGGCCACTCAGAGTGGCTGGGTTATGATGCTGTATGTGGAGGTGGGGTCAGAGCAGGGAAATGGCGGCGCTCTCCCTGCCGCTTGCCGTGGGGACCCGCCAGGCCCTGGTCCAACGGCCCACTCCCTCTCCTGTCCGCCCACGCACAAATGCGCGACCACAGTCAACATGCAGCACCGCTCCCCGCTGTCTCCCCCATGGTCGCTCGCCTGGTTGCTCGCTCGGTGGCTCACTAGGTTCAACCCTGCGCCTGGATTCCGCGCGTCTGGATTCCACGCGCTTGAGTTTGTCCGACCGAGTTTTCCTGTGCAACCCCATTTCACCAGCCGCTGGTTTCGCCCCTTACTGGTCAGGCTGAAGAATTTGTTGTTAATGGACTTCTGAAAAGTTCAATTTTCCGTGTTCTGGCTGTGTTTTCTGTTGCTAATATTTAGTTGTCTCTAAACTTGGTTGTGTGAGAAGGCACGGCACATCCACCTATGCCTCCATCTTGGCGGAGGTCTCTTTGCTTTTAAATAGACATTTTATAGCAGTTTTAGCAAAATTGGACGGAGGGTACAGAATGTTTCCATACACCTTCTTCCTCCACACGTGCACAGCCTCCCTTGCTGTTAGCATCCCACACCGGAGTGGTACGTTGTTCATACTGGTCAGCCTGCCTAGACGCAGCATGATCTCAGAGTCCATAGTTTACATTAGGCTTGTGTCTTGTACATTCTGTGGATTTTAACAATTGTACATATCCACTGTTACAGTAACATACAGAGTAGTTTCACCGTCCTAAAAATTCACTGTGCTCCGCCTTTTCATTGTTCTCCCCTGTCACCTGGCCAACATTGATGTTTCTACTGTGTCCAGAATGTCCTACGACAGTGGTTATAATTTCATTTTCCTAATGATTTTTAAAAGTGATTTTATTTATTTATCTTTAGAGGTAAAGGGAAGGAGAGAAGGAGAGAAATATCAATGTATGGTTGCGTCTTATGTGTCCCCTGCTAGGAACTGACATATGCCCCAACTGGGAATCGAACCACGGTTGTTTGGTTCACAGGCCCACGCTCAACCAACTGAAACTACACCAGCCAGGGCTCATCATTAACTTTTGAAGGTGATACTATATTTATAGAACTCAAAGAGAATTAACTAGACACCTACTGAAAATAAAACATTCATAATCTGATTTTTACTTCAGTAAGTGTTGAAAATTCCAGATAAAATAATAACGTGGATCAAAAGCATTTGAAAAAAATTTTTTTTAATTTTATTTATTTATCTTTAGAGGGGAAGGGACAGAGAGAGGGAGAGAAACATCAATGTACGGTTGCCTTTCATGCATCCCCTGCTGGGAATTGGCCTGCAGGGAACCAGCCTGCAACCCAGGCATGTGCCCTGACTGGGAATCGAACCACGACTGTCTGGTTCGCAGGCCCGCGCTCAATCCACTAAGCTACACCAGCCAGGGCAGCATTTGAAAAAATTTAATAATCTTTGAATGCTTTGAAAATTTAATACTTTGAATGCTTTTTAAAAAAAGATTTCATCCATCTTTTATTTTAGAGAGAGGGGAAGGGAGGGAGAAAGAGGGAGAGAAACATCAAAGTATGGTTGCTTCTCATGCGTCCCCCACTGGGCACCTGGCCCACAACCCAGGCACATTCCATGACTGGGAACCGAACCAGCAATCTTTTGGTTCAGAGGCCAGCTCTCAATCCACTGAGCCAAACCAGCCAGGGCTGAATGAAGAAAATTTTAATGTAAAGATTAACAAGTTATAGTTATTAACTTTATAAAAGGAGGAGTATGCTAAGGTATCATGTAAGTAAGAAGGTAAGGAATTGGCTGCTACCCCTTAAACTCTTAATTGTGACTTCTAAGTTGGGAGATTGTGGAGTATTGATACAGTTCTGGTTGATGTATTAGGGGACATGTTGAAAGTCATTCTGGGAGAGTTGGAAAAATTGTAAGTGGGTCCGTCTGTGGGGAGGGTCTACTTTCAGGAGGTTGAAATAGTATACCAAGCAGTGAGTGAGTCCTGACAAGAAGGTGAGAGAAAGGTGCAGGTCCCTCTTCTCTCCTCTGGTCTCCGCACTGTGCTCCTCTGTGGCGGACACTCAAAGGAGCCAGTTGGTTGCTTCAGCAGAGTCTGCGAGGGTAGATCTGGACCTGGGACAGCGGCCTGATGACTGCACAGGCTCCCCTTTCACCAGTCAGCATCCACACGACCCCTTCTCCGCATCGTTTAACTTCCGTGTAACAAAGGACCGTTCCCGTCTAATTGGATACAGTTTTCCATTTTACAAAATGATTCATCTTCACCCTCTCCCCGAAGTGCGATGCGGTGCTCCAACAGTCATTGTACTCATCTCGGGGACATTGGTTTACTGTCCAGTCATGAGCTGTATTAATTCCTCTTCAGATTCACTCCTAGCCCATTTGACTGTTCTCTTATCTAATGGCTAAACGGTAAAGGAAATGCCAGCAATACTTCTGTAAAGCAATAATGTGAAGGATAAGGGAGAACAGTTAATATATCCAAATGTGTAATATTCACAGAAACATACTGATAACAAGGAATAAACTATGCACAGTGCGTGCCCATGTTCCTGCCACTTGTGACAAGAATTTATACCTTCCTTAACTCGTTACCCATTTTATTGTGTTTCATTTGCTGTTAGCCAGGGCCTTAGCTGGTAAAGTTCTTCAGCTGGGGGAGGTGACCCAGACCTTCATTCCTGAAGGGTCTGAATCCCCCGTGGATCTGCCTTTTTTTGTTTGTTTTGATTTTCTATTAACTTTTACTGACAAACAGGATGTCCTGAAGAGGCAGCCCACAGAATGGCAGGGCTTCCAGGCATTTTCCCTGACCGTGCTCTGGCAGCCAGCCAGTCAGTTTCCCCATTGGCAGTGATGCCCACAGAGTAACCCCTTCTTTGCTGGTTGCTTTAGAGGTAAATGTCCTTCAGCATATCAGTCTAACTCTTTTTTTGAAAACTATTTATTTCGTTTTAAGATTTTATTTATTTATTCTTAAGAGGGTAAGAGAAGGAAAAAGAGAGGGAGACAAACATTAATTGGTTGCTTCTTGCATGCTCCCAACTGGGGACCTGGCCTACAACCCAGGCATGTTCCCTGACTCGGAATGGAACCAGCGACCTTTCAGTTTGCAGGCCAGCACTCAGTCCACTGAGCCACACCAGCCAGGGTGAAAGCTGTTTTCTTTAGTTGAAAGTATTCTTTGCAGAGCTTCTCAAATCACATGACACCAATGCAATATTAAGTTCATAACAGGACTGGTATGATTAAGGTTGAGTATCTTAGTCTGAAATGTGTACAGACACTCATTTGTTTTGTTTTTAGTGATTAATTAGACTGTTCAGATCTCACCGGCTTGTTGTTTATTTCTTGATGCTTGCTCTCTTAGAGTATTACTTACTCCTGCAATCATATGAGGAAAACAGGGTTTTTTGTTTGTTTGTTTGTTTTGAAAGCGCCTATGGTGTAACCTCATTCAACTGCTCAGCAAAGGATGATCATTTATTTTTTTCATTATTAAAATTTCTTTTTCAGTTACCATTGACATTCAACACTATATTGGTTGCAGGTATATCACTCAGTGGTTGGACACTTATATAACTAATGAAGTGATTCCCCCTATAAATAAGTCTAGTACACCCCCAATACCATATCTAGATATTAACAATATTATGGACTATGTTCCCTATGCTGTATTTTAAATCCTTGTGATTGTTTAGTAACTGCCCATTTGTACTTTCTAATCCCTTTACATTTTTCACCCTTTAAAAAAATTCTTACCTGAGCATATGTTTATTGTTTTGAGAGAGAGAGAGAGGAAGGGAGGGTATGTTTATTGATTTGAGAGGAAGGGAGGGAGAAAGAGAAACATCGATTGGTTGCTTCCTGTACTCACCCTGATTTTCAGTTGAACCCACAACCCTGCAACTTGTGTATGTATCCTGACCAGTTCTTGAACCTGCAACCTTATACTGTACCAGATGACACTGTAGCCAACTGAGTCATCTGGCCAGAGCTTCACCCTATTTTCTAACAATACAGAGTGAGGCAAAAGTAGGTTTATACTTGTGAATACACCTTTATTCTTGTGTTATTATTCACTAATTATTGTATTAATTTCCATATGAGCAAATGTATACCTACTTTTGCCCTACCTTGTATATGAGTAATACATCTTTAATAAGAATTTATTAAAGAATTTGTTAAGAATGTTTCTTAAAACTTTAAATTGAGATATCATATAAAGTATAAGTGAAAAATAAGCACACCTCTGTAACCTAACACTCACATCAGGATACTGAACAGTAGTGATACCCCAAGCAGGCCCTCTCCTATCCCCTTCTCATTCCTCTTCTCCCAAAGCCAAACACTTGCTTATTTTTTCACCAGGGTTCTGTGTGTTTTATTTTATTGTTTCTTCAGCTTTATTGAGGTATACTTGCCATTATTTCAGTTTTAATAACAAAGATTTCTTTTCCCTAATTTTTGACCTTTCTGTGTGTGGAATTCCATAACATGATTGCTTTTATATCTGGCTACAAAGTGCACTTCAACTTATCAACCCTCTGATTGTTGGCAAAGGGTTATACATAAAAGTGTGCTTTTGTACTCTTATTGACAAAGGAATTTTTTAGGAGGAAAAAAAATCAGTGTATCTCATTATTAAAATGGGTAAAAATTACGCCGTCTTAACTCTGAAATATTCAGTCATTAAACCCAATACTCACAAGTCATTTTCAGTGGCTGGTACAAGTATTTTTAATAGTGGATGAGTACAGAGTGTGACTAATTTTCTTTAATTCCAAAGATAGGAACTGTTGGAGAAAACACGAGCAGCAGAAAATCCCAGAACATTAACAGTAGTTAACACTTAGTCTAGGGTGGGTTTCAGGTCATTCCCCCACCAGCCCCTACTTCCAGCCCTGCTGCCTAGACTCCTTGTCCTTCCAGAGTCTGTAGAATATGCTTTACCGTGCGTTGTGAGGAGGCAGGAGAGGTTTCCCTGGACCACTTAACTGAACGTCCTGAAGTATAATCGTATAATTTCATTTACTTTTACAGGTATTTCCTTGGAAATGGCAGCTGTGACAGTGAAGGAAGAATCAGAAGATCCTGATTACTATCAATACAACATTCAAGGTAATCCCATCTAATACAGTTTTTCTTTCCAAAAGTTATTACTGCTAAAAATTTAAATTTATCAGTTGCCTGAGTTCTTTAAATACTTCTTTTATATTGTTCCTCGATTCCATGTGTACCTGTAATATATAATAGAATATAATAGATTAAAAAATTAGGCAGTACAATAAACTTAATTACAGGGGAAACATAGAAAAGCCATTACTATTCTCGAAAGGTACAGTAAAAGTGGCACAACCTAGAGTTCAATTCCAGTTTCTGATATTTGCAAGGCACGAATGATCTTCTGAAACTTTAATAGTTCTTTTTAAAAACTTTTTTAAAAAAATTAATTTTATATTTTATTGATTATACTATTACCGTTGTCCTATTTCCCCCGTCATTCCCCTCCATCCTTCACACCCCCTCCCCCACCATTCCCCCCCATTTAGTTTCTGTCCATGTATCACAAGTTCTTTAGATTCTATATTTCCCATACTATTCTTGCCCTCCACCATATCTATTTTCTACCTACCATCTATGCTACTTATTCTCTGCACCTTCCCCCCCTCTCCTCCTCCCACTCCCCTGTTGCTAACCCTCCATGTAATCTTCATTTCTATGGTTCCTCTCCTGATCTAGCTGTCCTCTTAGTGTGTTTTTTGTTTTAGGTGTGGTTGTTAATAACTGTGAGTTTGCTGTCCTTTCACTGTTCATCTTTTTTATCTTCTTTTTCTAAGTCCCTTTAAAATTTCATATAATAAGGGCTTGGTGATGATGAACTTCTTGAATTTGATCTTATCTGAGAAGCACTTTATCTGCCCTTCCATTCTAAATGAAAGCTTTGCTGGATAGATCAATCTTGGATGTAGGTCTTTGGATTTCATGACTTGGAATACCTCTTTCCAGTCCCTTCTTGCCTCTAAGGTCTCTTTTGAGAAATCCGCTGACAGCCTGATGGGAACTCCTTTGTAGATGACTGTCCCCTTATCTCTTGCTGCTTCTAGGATTCTCTCCTTCATTTTAATCTTGGCTAATATAATTATGATGTGCCTTGGTGTGTTCCTTCTTGGATCCAACTTCTTTGGGACTCTCTGAGCTTCCTGGACTTCCTGAAATCTATCTCCTTTGCCAGACTGGGGAAGTTCTCTTTTATTATTTGTTCAAATAAGTTTTCCACTTGTTGCTCTTCTTCTTCCCCTTCTGGTACCCCTATAATTTGGATGTTGGAACATTTAAAGATGTCCTGAAGGTTCCTAAGCCTCTCCTCATGTTTTTGAATTGTTGTTTCTTCATTCTTTTCTGTTTGATTGTTTCTTTCTTCCTTCTGGTCCACTCCCTTGATTTGAGTCCCAGTTTCCTTTCCATCACTATTGCTTTCCTGTGCATTTTCTTTCATTTCAATTAGTTTAGCCTTCATTTGTTCCTCTAATTTATGACTAAAATCAACCAGTTCTGTGAGCATCCTGATCATCAGTGCTTTGGACTGTGCATCTGATAGGTTGGCTATTTCTTGGTCTCTTAGAGTTATTGGCTCTGGGGCTTTGAGTTCTTCTTGATCCATAATGTTTTGGTCTGTTCGCACCTGTTAGGTATCAGGGGCATAGCCCTAGATGTTCACCAGGGCGGGGCAACTCAGTTGCTGGGTTGTGACACTGTATGTGGGGGCGGGGTCAAAGAGGGTCAATGGTGGTTCCTTCTGCTACTTCCTGCCGCTGGGGCCTGTGAGGTCTGTCTCACTGCTCGCTCCTTTACCTGGTTTATGTGCACATGAATGTGTGACCGTGGTCAGCCTGCCGCCTTGCACCCTCAGTGAGTCTGCCCATTGTACCCCCACGCCTGGAATCCACCAACTGCCACCGATGCCTGGGTCGGTCCCGCCGAGTTTTCCTGTGCAACCTTGCTCCGCCAGCCCCTGGCTCTGCCCCTCCTACCGGTCTGGCTGAACGGGTTTATTGTTGTTGGACTTCCATATAGTTCAATTTTCTGTGTTTTGGTTGCGTTTTTGTTAATAAAACTTTGTTGTCTTTAAACTTGGTTATGCGAGGAGGCACAGTGTTTCCACCTACACCTCCATCTTGGCTGGAAGTCTATTGGTTGATTCTTGTATGTGCTCTGACTGGGGATCAAACCCACAACCTTGGTGGATTGGGTGGATGATCTGACCAACTGAACTGTTCAGCTTGGGCATTGAAACATTAATAGTTCTATTTGTGCAACAAAAACAATTGTGTAAACATTATCATTATCTTAAAAATCTATAAAAGGTAAGACAGTAATAAGTTTTAGCTACTTTTTGTTACATGTGTTTTTGCTTGATCATGAGGAAGGAATTAAAATTTATAATTTCACGATGAATTTTGCTTTTAAGCCTTAATGGATTTTAGTTTAGAAGGATGTTTTCTAGATTTAATAGTAAGTTTAATTTTTTTTGCATGTATAAATTACATTAAACCATTTAAAGAGTAAAATCAGATTAGTTTTTTTGTATATGTTATCAAACCATCTTCACTTCAATCAGGATAAGGAAATGTCCATCATGTCTGAGTTTCCTTGTTTCCCTTTGTCAGTTCACTGCTCTCCCCTAGCAACCAGTGATGTGTTTTCTATCATTTTAGATTAGTTTCTATTTTTTAGAAATTTATATAAATGGAATCATCACCAAGTATGTACTGTTATTCATGGAGGGTGGTGTGCTTGTGAATTCTTTCATTGCGTACAAGTGTTTTGCAGTCCACCCATGGTGTTCCATGTACCAATAGCTAGTTCCATTTTATTTCTGGGTATTATTCTGTTGTATGGCCATACTGCAACTTGTTTGTCCCTTTGTTTATTGATGGACATTTAGTTTTTCCCAGTTTGGGCTGTTAGGAAATAAAGGTGCTGTCAACTTTTGTGTGCAAATTCTTGTGTGGAAATATGCCTTCCTTTCTCTTGAGTAGATTCGTAGAAATGGAATAGCTGGGACATATATGGTAGGTATTCAACTTTTTAAGAAACTGCCCACTGCTTTTCACAGTGCATGAGTCTACTGTTTTACATTTCCTTCAGCAGAGTATCAAGTTGCTTCACATCCTTGTCAGAACTTACGTGGTCAGTCTTAATTCTGTGTAGTCATCTTATTGAATATCTTAGGATACCTCATTTTGGTTTTAATATGCATTTGCATAGTAGGGTTAGTTCATTTAAAGAGCTAAACCATTATCAGTTCCAGAATGTTATAAAAGTGTTATGAATTAATTTATTTTGGTTTGTAATGATGGGAATGAATACCTGTATCCATATGTTAAAGTGTTTTATGGTGAATTTCATGATTTTTATCTGTCAGTTTTGAACATTTTATTGCTTATGACATTAAGAATTGCACGGCCAAAAGCTTGAGGTAAATGTGAAGGTTTTTAATTAAAAGGTTAAAATTTTGGAAGGTATTAACAACTTCATAGCAGTTGTTAGTACCTAAAAAACATGCATAAGTTTATTAAATACTGTTTCATGTTTTTTCAACAGATTTTTTAATTTTTTAAATAATAAGTTTATTTTTCTTCTTAGTATTGTCTTTCTAATATTTGTTATGTCAACTAGGATTATAAAAGGTTTTTTTTTCTGTTCCCCTTTTGAAATTAGGAGTGTGATTTTAAGATGATGCCTGAATAATAAGATTTGAAAATGAGATACTGTGAGAGGAGAAAGGTGGTCTGAATGATAGTATCTTAAATGCAGTTGAAGAAGGTGGAGCTAGACAACTGGTTTTTTTGTTTGTGTTGTTCTAATCTAGCAAGCTGAGAGATACCGTCCATGAAGTTTGGATATTTTTCTTGATAATTGAATTTGGACAGTTCCTTGTGTATTCTGTGTAAAAGTCCTTTGCAGTGTGATTTGCGTACTTAGGGTTTTTTTTCCTTGTATGATTTGTGCTTAAGTATGGTAGCTAAGAAATCGTAGTCTGACCCAACATCATAGAGGTTTTCCTTTTATTTCATAGAAAGTTTTATAGTTTTACACATAGGACTGTGATCAGTTTAGACCTAGGTTTTGTACAGAGTGCAAAATAATGAGTATCCAGTTTTCCCTGCATCCTCTGTTGAAAAGGCTGTTCTTCCTGGCTGGCGTAGCTCAGTGGATTGAGTGCGGGTCTGCGAACCAGAGGATCACAGTTCGATTCCCAGTCAGGGCACATGCCTGGGTTGCAGGTCAGTTCCCAGCAGGGGACGCATGAGAGGCAACTATACATTGATATTTCTCTCCCTCTCTCCTTCCCCTCCCCTCTAAAGATAAATAAATAAAATCTTTAAAAAAAAAAAGAACAGAAAAGGCTGTTCTTTTTCCATTGCATTAGCTTTACATCTCTTGTCAGTTTCCTGAGTGTATTCTGTTACATTGATCTCTGTGTCTGTCGGTCCTTTTCCAAAATTACATTGTCTTGAAATCATATTGTAAGAGTCCTTTGAAATTGTTCTTTTTCAAAATGATTTTGTTTATTTTAGCTTTTTACCGTTTCATACGAATTTTAAAAGTCAGCTTGTTGATTGGTTAAAAACTGTGTTGGGGATTTTAACGGCAGCTGTGCTGAATCTATAGAGTAAGTTGGGTTAAATGTCCTAATAGGGAACCTGTGATTCATGAGCATGGCACGTACATCTTACCTCTTCAGCTCCTCCTTGATTTCTTTCATCAGTGCATTGTTTTCAGTATAGAGATCTTGTACACACTTTCTAAGATTTATATCTAAATAGTTAATGTTTTTTGGTGTTAGTAAGTGGTACTGTTCTTTTACATTTCAGCTTCCAATTATTTATTGCTAACTACAATAGATTTTTTACGTCTGAACTTCTATCTTGTGATCTAGTTAAAATTCACTTATTTTAGCAACTTTTTGGTGAAATCTTTTGGCATTTCTGAATAGCTGTTGTTATTTCCTTTTTCCCCCCTTGTGTTAGTTGTGCTGGCTGGGATCATGTAGTGTTATGTTGAGTTGGGGTAGTGAGAGCAGATAATCCTACCTTGTGCACAGTTTTAGAAGAAAATCTTTCAGTATGATAGCTGTGGGTATGTTATTGTGTCGGTTTGTGAAGAGTTTTTATGGTGATTGGGTGCTTGTGAAAGGTTTTTATTGCAGCTATTGAGGTGATTACATGGTTTTTCTTGTTTAGAATATTCAAATGATAATTGACATTAATTTCGAAATGTGGAATCAGCCAGGTATTCCTGGGATAAACCCTAGTTGGTTAATTTCTGTTTATTTATTTTTCTGTTTCATCCTCACCCAAGGACATTTTTAAAGTTGCTTTATGGGGGGGCGGGGAGGGAGACTGCAGTATCAATCAGCTGCCTTCTTGCATGCCCTGACCTAACCCACAGCCTGGGTATGTGCCCTGACCTGGAATTGAACCTGCGACCTTTTGGTCCCCAGGAGGACACTCCAACCAGCTGAGCCACACTGGCCAGACCCATACCTGGTTAACTTTTAAATTTCTTTTTATAGTTATAGGACTATTCAGTTTACATATTTATTCTTGACTGATTTGGCACATTGTATCTTTTAAGGAATTTGTGTATTTCATCTTGAAGCTTTTTTAATTTTAATGTTTGTAAGGGTTTATCCTGATTCCTCATTTTCAGTTTTGTGATTTGTGCCTTTCATTTTTTTCTTGATTTGCCTAGCTCAGGTTTATCAGGCTTGACAGTACAGATACTTAGATCAAACAGTTAACTGTTGTATGCTATGTGTTGTATGATGTTCAGTAAACTCCGTGACCTCTAACTACTAGGTAGGTATCAGTAGCAACTTGCGAGTTACAAGAATTAAAAATGTGTCCAGACAGTGCCATGTCCCCGGGGAACGGTATCATTCCCAAAACAGAACCACGGGTCCAGCTGTGTAGTTTTCTCAAAAATACTTTTCCTCACTGATTCAGCTTTTATTTTGCAGTTTTTGTTCTTAATGTTTCTTTGTTTTCTGCTTGCTTTAATTTTGTTTCTTAAGATAGAAGCTTAAATCGTTGATTTGAGATCTTTTCCATTACAAGCATTTAATGCCATAAACTACCCCCCTCGTAAGCATTAGTTTAGCAATGCCTCATGAACTTTGATGTGTATTTTCATTCAATTCAAAATATTTTCTAATTTCTCTTGTGGTTTCTTCTTTGTCCTGTGTTTTACGTAGACGTGTGTAGTTTTAATTTCTCCAAATTAAAACTTGTGGACATTTCAGACATCTTTCTATTAATGATTTTCTGTTTGTTTTATTGTGCTTAGAGAACATTCTTTGTGTAATTTCGTTTAGCTTTGTTAAGGTTGATTGATAAAGTGGTACATACAAACCTGCTCGATCCTTTCTCACATTTCTGTCTCCTTGTTCTGTAAATCCCAGGAGTGTAGAAATGCCAGTCGCCTCTGTGGGTTTCTCTGTTTCTCTTCTCACTGCTGTCACTTGTGCTTCATGCGTTCTGAAGGTCTGTTGTTAGGTGTCAGTCTCATAGAAGCTCCTTCTCTGGGGCTACTTTCCTGGCAACCAGCCCTTGTCCTGATGTGTAAGAACCCAGATTAATTTTGTGTGTTTTTGTATTTCATGTAAATAGAATCCCTCAGCAGGTTGTCTCCTGTTTCAGGCTGCCTTTGTAAAACAGAATTTGTGAGACATTATCTTTTGGTGTACTTCAGTTTTTGCACTGCTGTATTATATTTCTAAAATGCCTTTTTAAAATGAAATGTTTCAAATCTACATACAAATTGTATGTCTGCCCAGGCTTACTGAACTCTTTTGTCGTCCTCATCTCCGCAGGACACAACCTGGTAAATGTGTAATTGACATGCTTCTTTGAGCTCTGCCAGACGACCGCTTTCTCCCTGTTTCACTTGAGTTAACCGTTCTATTGAAATAAGGGTTGTCCTTCCTGATAAGGGTTTTGTACTTGTACCTTGTATGTAATCCCACAGAGGTGTCTGTGTGTGTATCTGTGCACATATATTTTATGTATAGATTTTCTCAGTTTTTAAGCTTGACATGAATGGCATCATACTATATGTATTATTATGTATGTGTTCTCGTGTGTTACTCAGTATAAGTCTTCAAGATGTATGTATTTCTTCACATGTAGATTTAATATTGTCATTGTGCTAGTTATATTGTGATCATTTGTTCATTCCTCTACATTTATGTTTTCTTCCAAAAGTTTGGTATCCCCAAATAGGCTTGTACATATTTCTGCGTACATGTCAGTCTCCCTGTAAGATAGTGGCACTCAGATATGAGTGTTGGAAATATGTGATGTTCACAGCGATTGGTAGACACTACCAGGATTTTGAGTCTGAGGGTCAAATATGAATAAAATCCAAATGTGTGCTGTTAAAACAGGTAGCTAAAATTAAACATCATAGATAATTTGAAATTTTAATGATCTATGACAGTATACTAGAAGAAATTAAAGTTAACCAATATTAATTTGAGGCCAGAAAAGGAAAAGATAGGCATAAATAGTAAAATTATATAATATATATAGTTATAAGTTACTAAGTTGATAAAGCAATCATTAATATTATATACCTAACAACGTAGCCTCAAAATAAAAGTAAAAGAATCAACATAATCATGACATGTTTACAAATCCACAGTCATTGAGTACTTATAAATGACAAGTAGAATATTTGAACTCTACAGTGTATCCAGAACTCTATACCTAACTAATAAATGTTTGTTTACAAATCATGGATCTTTTACAAAAATTGACTTTATACTTGTTCACAGATAGCCTTTAAAAATTCCCTGAACACAATGTAACGTATAACTTAGTAATAAAAAGATTATTTAAAATAGAAACCCTATATAATGGAAGCCTAAGAAATATACTTGGTTGCAACAAGGACCTCGTGAAAAAGAATTCAGAAAAGAACAATACTGAAAATACCACATAGGTAACCTTGTGAAAAAGCAGTTGAAGCAACATTTAGAAGTCAGTTACTGCCCTTAGGTATGGTGTCATGAATTTTTTTCTGTACGTCTTTACCCAGGATCACATGACTAGGAAGCCGTGAATTTGGCATTTAAATTTAGGGCTCTTTCATTCAATGCCCTGCTCTCAGTTATGATTCCAAATACAGTTTTTGTATTTTCTATAAAGTTGTGTTTCTCTGTGATGTGTCCTTTGCATATAATGCGTGGTTTTGTGCCTCTGTGAAATTCCTCAGCATTAGCAAACCAAAGAGTCTTAGGAAGGATATTTTCCAAATAAATAGAGATAGTTTGTATATTTCATATTCATGCAAGATGTTTCATGTTAAGTAGCCATTGAAAACACTTTTCTTTCTCTTTTAAATGTTTCATTACTAAAGTGCTAGAATAATAACATGCAAATGTTTATCATAATCTGCATAGCACTTGGCAAAGATTTAATTAATCGCAAATACTTTATATGTTAATAATTGGAAAGAACCATGTTAAATTATTTGAAAGTGCTTATGAATCTGCAGGAAAGGGGGATTCTGAATTAACTGTTAGTTTGTCATGTTTCTATTTCCAAGGAGGTTCAAGCTTACTGGTAGGTTAATTACATGACTTGAGAGATCCTGAGTAAGCTGTAAGAACTTGATTCTGCATTTGTCTTCAGTATGACAAAAGATTAAGCAAATTTTTGTCAAGGAAGGAACAAATACACCTTGTAAAATAATCCTGCACTTATACGCTGTACAATGTAAAAGTTGCAGTTTGCTGTTATGAACCTTTTACCGTTGTTTTAAAAAAATTCATATTCACCATTTCAGCCCTGGCTGGTGTAGCTCAGTGGATAGAGTAGGGGCCTGCAAATCAAAGGATTGCAGTTCGATTCCCAGTCAGGGTACATGCCTGGGTTGCAGACTGCTTCCCTGCAGGCCAGTTCCCAGCAGGGGATGCACGAAAGGCAACCAACCATACATTGATGTTTCTCTCCCTCTCTCCTTCCCCTCTAAAAGTAAATAAATAAAATCTTTTAAAAAAAGCCATATTCACCATTTCAGACGTATCATTCCCATTCACTTCATGTCTAGTCATTTTCAAAAATGCTTTTGACTGTCTATATATGAGTTTATCTGAGCTCAATTTTTTCATTCACTGAGACTGTAAATTGACGACATTCATTTTGTCAGTCTTTTTTTTGTTGTTCAGGAAAAGGCTGTAGTATTCCATATGTTTCACCCAAATTTCTTTACTAAAGTGACCCAAAATACATTTTTGGGATTGCTTTTGAAGTGTTATCTTTGTATTCCAAAGCAGGCCCTTCTGAAACTGATGATGTTGATGACAAACTCCCCCTTTCGAAGTCTTTGCAAGGTATATATAACTTTTCACTTCCATCTTACCGAATACTGTTTTTATTCAGTGTTTCTTTATATTGGACGGACTGTGTTTTATAGTATTTATATTCGTATTATTACTTTTCTAAATGGAAAAGGAAAAATGTATTGGCCTTTTTATTTTTTGAAAAACATAAATGAACTTCACAAGCAACAATTTTTCAAAACCAATTTTCCCTTTTGTGAATCTAGTAATGAATCTCGAAATGAGTTAAACTGTTAGGATGTAGTATGGCTTCCTATTTCTAAGTGGTTTGTATAATTTCCAAAAAGTTTTTATAATCGTTCCCAAGGCAAATGACTGATAAGGTAACTGAATCTTGTTTTAGAATTATTTCTCTCATAGGCTGGTCGTGTTGCACCTTATTTATGTAGGTTAAAAATGAAGTATGTTGTGTAACTTTATACTCCATATATTTCCTTTGTTTATTTTTAAAAATCATTAGTTTGATCTTTTACCCTCTCTGAGTGGAGGGACTTCTTAATCTTTCCAAATTCAATTTTATAAGTAAGGTTTCTAACTGGAACACGTGTCCTGCAGAAATAGTAAGATGCTCATTTTAAACAGTACTTTAGATTTATTTTTGTTTTTAGAAGATAGTGTACATGACATTTTTTTCCTGTGTGGAGATAATTTAATATTTTCAATGTAAGAAAATCTTCTATTTTGAATAGGTGGTATTTACAGCAAAATACCGATATAGAGTATACATGGGACAGGTTTCATCAGGCACTATGAATTACTTCACAGTTTGCAATTCTGTAATTAGATATTAGGCTTTCGCATACTTTATTTTTGAGGAGATTTTTGTTGATTTATTGCAGTGTTAATAGAATTCAATCAAACCTGGGTTCTGGTCTTTATTCCTTTACTAACCAATAAACAATCTTTGGCAAATCAATTAATCTCTCAACCTTTTCAAAATCAAAGAGAGTTGATAAAGATACTTTCTAGCTTCTAGCACTAACATTCTGATGTACATATATTTCTTTGGTGCAGTAACACAAATATTAATGAAATATGTAATTTTTAAAGGAATATTGCATATAACATTAGGGGATATAGTCCTTATGCATTTTTTTATAGTCATTGTCTTAACCTAAAGGTCCCCACTGCAAAAAACTGTGGTTTGACTTCACAGTTAAATCACTCCTAGGATTTCTGATAGCAGAAGAGAAATAGTAAAAACAGGAAAGAAAAAAATAAAGGCTTTATTTTCTTTTTAGCATTTTCTAGTTGTAGTAGGAAAAAACTCTTACTTTATTATAATCTTACTCCTCCAAAAATAGAAGGTTTTTTAGTCCATCAGTGCAGGTAACTTGGTAATATCTAATAGTTTTCCAGAAGTTTTCTAGTTTTTGGTTTTTTATCCCTATTTCTAAGTAAAGGGGCCAGATATTTTAGTACATATGAGATGAAATAAAATGCCAGTAAAACTTGATAGTAGGCTGCTTTTGGAGTGTCAGATCAATAAAATGTTGGAACAGAGAAAGTGCTTTATAATGAATGTCATTTTAGAATTTTATTTCTTTCAAGATTCTACTCAACATGTCCCTTCAGAAGTACGTGAAGACCCTGAAGTTGAGGTGACAATTGAAGGTTAGTTACCGAAAAGCCTTGATTCCAAAAGTTTACTTCTGGTCATAAAAACACTTGTCACATTCACATTTCTAAGTATGCATTTTATCCATATTTAGATGTAAATATTTCATCCATTCTTTTTTTTTTAAGATTTTATTTATTTATCTTAGAGGGGACGGGAAGGAGAGAGGGATAGAAATATCAGTGTATGGTTGCCTTTCATGCTCCCCTGCTGGGAACTGGCCTGCAACCCAGGCATGTGCCTTGACTGGGAATCGAACCGCTATCCTCTGGTTCGCAGGCCCATGCTCAATCCACTGAGCTACACCAGCCAGGGCTCATTCATTCTTAAAGGAAACTTGTGATAAGAATTGAAGCATATATGTGTATGTCTAACCAAAGCAGCCCGCTTCCCACCAGTGCACCCAGTGCTTTGGGAGTTTTATACAACAATAGTAAGCTGTGAAAATGAGCAGTGGTCCAGGTTATGCCCTGTTGTTGGGAGTTGAGAATAAAAAATGAAAACTATGACCATCAGATCAAATTCTGTAATCTGTTGCTGGGTTGTGATAGCTATATCTAATTAGTATCAGTAACCTCTGTTATCTACTTGAGTAAAGTGAAGAAGAAAGTGTTGCTAGGTTAGTCAATTTTTAAAGGGAGTTTTCTCCTAAAATACTATTAGAAGCTAACATATAACCTATTCCTAAAAACTGTTTTTGAATCAGTAGCTACAAATATATTTTAAACTAATCTTTATAGCCAGAGTTGCTTTAAACCTAGTTTTTTCCTCAAAGATAATGCATGAATGTAGATGAGCCAGTTTATCCTGAATTATTTAAAAATTCAGCTAATAAGACTTTTGCCAAGATGGAGGCGTAGGTGGAAGCACTGTGCCTCCTACCACAACCAAGTTTAAAAACAACAAAGTTTTAGCAAGAAAAACGCAGCCAAAACTACAGAAAATTGAACTTCAGGGAAGTCTGACAACAACGAACCCTTCAGCCAAACCGATAAACTGGTGAGGGAGGGAGCGGTGAGACAGACCATGCAGGCCCCAGTGGCAGGAAGCGGCAGAGGGGACTGCCATTGTCCCTCTCTGACCCTGCCCCCACCTACAGCATCACAAACCAGCGACCTGGGTGGCCCCGCCCTGGTAAACAACTAAGGCTATGCTCCTCATACCTAACACACATGAACAGATCAAAATGTGGCTCAAGAAGAACTTAGAGCCCCAGAGCTGATAAATCTAAGCAATGAAGAAATAGCTGAACTTTCAGATGCACAGTTCAAAACACTGGTGATCAGGATGCTCACAGAACTGGTCAATTTTAGTCACAAATTAGAGGAACATATGAAGGCTAAACTAATTGAAATTAAGGGAAATGCACAGGAAACCAATAGTAATGGAAAGGAAACTGGGACTCAAATCAAAGGAGTGGACCAGAAAGAGGGAAAAAGTCACTAAACAGAAAAGAATGTAGACAAGAATTCAAAAAAATGAGGATGGGCTTAGGAACCTCCAGCACATCTTTAAACATTCCAACATCAGAATTATAGGGGTGCCAGAAGGGGAAGAGGAACAGCCATGAGTGGAAAACTTATTTGAACAAATAATAAAGGAGAATTTCCCCAATCTGGCACAGGAAATAGACTTCCAGGAAATCCAGGAAGCTTAGAGAGTCCCAAAGAAGTTGGACCCAAGGAGGAACACACCAAGGCACATTATAATTACATTAGCCAAGATAAAAATGAAGGAGAGAATTCTAGAAGCAGCAAGAGATGAGGGGACAGTCACCTACAAAGGAGTCCCCATCAGACTGTCAGCAGATTTCTCAAAAGAGACTCTACAGGCAAGAAGGGGCTGGAAAAAAGTATTCCAAGTCATGAAATCCAAAGACCTACATCCAAGATTGATCTATCCAGAAAAGCTTTCATTTAGAATGGAAGGGCAGATAAAGTGCTTCTCAGATAAGATCAAATTCAAGGAGTTCATCATCACTAAGCCCTTATTATATGAAATTTTAAAGGGACTTAGAAAAAGAAGATAAAAAAGATGAACAGTGAAAGGACAGCAAACTCACAGTAATTAACAACCACACCTAAAACAAAAGCAAATTAAGAGGACAGCTAGATCAGGAGTGAACCATAGAAATAAAGATCACATGGAGGGTTAGCAACAGGGGAGTGGAAGAAGGAGAAGGGGGGAGAAGGTACAGAAAATAAGTAGCATAGATGGTAGGTAGAAAATAGATAGGGGGAAGGCAAGAATAGTAGCGGAGACATAGAATCTAAAGAACCGGAGACACGTGTTCATAAACTAAAGGGGGGGGAATGGTCGGAGAGGGGGTGTGCAGGGTGGAGGGGAATGACGGGGGGAAATAGGACAACTGTAATGGCATAATCAATAAAATATATTAAAAAATAAAATAAAAATTCAGCTAATATAATTGTTAACAGTGTCATCGTTCATATTTAATAGTTAAGTCCATATTTTTTCTTTTTACTTTGTCGCACACTACTCCCATATAAATTTTTTTCCCTCAAAGTAATTCTCTTCTAAGGAAAAATATTGAAAGAAAAGAACAAATTACACTGTTATGTTCACATCTGCCCTGTTGTAAAGTCCCTCTACTCACTTGGTTGTGTACGCATCTAAACGTGATTTGATTTATACACATGTATATAGGTAGTTTTATAACATACCTGCTTTCAGCATATGCAACATTCTAATGAACATTTAAAATACACATATATCACATTTCCCATAGGTTTTTTCCCCCTATAACCACACATCTTGGTACTTCACCTTTTTCTTTTTTAACTGCTGCTTAGCTTTTCTTGGATTTCCTTCTCTCTCTCTCTCTCTCTCTCTCTCTCTAATCACTCACTTTCTGTCTCTCTAATAACAAGTCTCCTCCTGGTGTCACTTGGTCATTTATAGTATTTGGCCACTTAACAACTCACTGCTCAAAATGTATGTCTTCATTGCTTCTAAAAAACTATGACTATATTGGTAGCTTTCACCTGACATGAGATTTTTCTCATACTTCATGTCTCAAAATAATATATCTATTTCTTTTATCATTAATAAAATTTTGCTTACCTAAAAGCAGTTATGAATTGTTTATAGTTTAGCATTAAATAATTGAAATTTTTATTTATAAACCTCATTAACTATTGGAAAAGGAAATGTTAAGAGTTTATAAACATTATAAATACTGAAAACTTTGTCTTTTCTATACAAATAAGGAAAATGGATTATATTAAAATTTATTAGGACAAAGCTTTAAATAGGAAAATAACCAAGTTATTTTTATCATATCTTATAGAACAGATAACGGCTGTATTAAATTTGTTTGGAAAGGAAACACATGCTTTTATAATATAGGACTTTTAAAGAGATGTTAATGATAATCACGAAATAAATGGCTCATGAACCTGAAATGTGTCAAACTTTTCAATTTTAAGTCTTTGGAAGAAGTGATAAATCTTACTATTTTAAACTAAAACATATAGTACAGAAAGCTTAATCATCCAAACTTGTCAACGAGTAGTTGAATTTTGCTATGTAGATGGCTTTTGTTCACAATCAACACCAATGAAATACCAGGTCTGTATAAGTAATTACTTTACAGAGTAGACTTTTCTATGGCACATATGTATGTGAACAAACTATATATCAACCTTAGTTAAATTGCTACTGCATTTGCCTTTTATAATGCGTATTTTTTACCGAAATTTTAGGGGAAAATAAAGATATGCATTATACATAGGTAGTAGTAATTCCCTATCATATACGTGCTTTTAATTCTTTTATTTATGCTTATGCATTAAAAGTGTAACTCTAGAAAGCAATAACGATATCTGTGTGCAAAATAATACCCTGGAATATGATATTTGTTTTGCTGAACTTACGGCAAACTTACAATGAAAGCAGTTTTCACAAACGATTCAATGAAATGAAACAAAGAGCAACGTGTTGTTATCCTCAGAGAAAGATAGATGATGCCGATGGGAATCCACTTGATGCAGACAGGTGATGCAGACTTTATTACCATCTGGTGAACAGCACATTTCTCTTCGTACACTTTGGGCGGGAGAAATTATGGGAAAAATCCCTTGGAAAATGTCAAAATGGTTTTCATACACTGCAAGCTTTAAGCCAAAAGCTATTAAATATGCTAAAAAGCATGGCAACAGAGCTGCCGAGAGACACTATGGACCTCCTCCCACAGAGAGTGTCATCAGACTGTGGAGGCAACAGGAAGAAAAGCTTCTTCAGATGCCAAGACAGAAGAAGGCAGTCAATGCGAGGGAAACCTCCAAAGTGACCGGAGGCGGAGCAGGAGGTCGAGACTCATAATTTGGAGCAGCGTCACACTGGGGTCTCTCTTTCGACCAAGATGATACAAGAAGAAGGTAAAAGGATTGCACAAGAGAAAAACATTGATGATTTTCAGGGACTCCTAAATGGTTTTGCGGTGAATAAAGCACCTAGACGTTTTTTTATCAGTACACTATGGAAGGTGAAGTTTAAGTCTGTCATATTAACAAGAAAGGTCAAATGAGAACTTGTGCATCTGTTGGATAAATACTGTTTATTTTTTCTGGAAAGATTGCAGAATGGTAGAAACTCACCAAATACTATAGTTCAGAAATTAACTTTTGATGCGTCTTCATAATAGAAAAAATATACAGGCACTGAAATTGTGATTTTTTTGGTTTGTTTAGAGTAAATGATCCAGAAAAAGGTCCCTGTTGTCATATGTTTAGTTGAGGAGCGGGGAGGAACTCCTGCCCTTCACGAACAAGTCAAGTTTAAAAGAAAGTGTATGTGGAGAATGATGTTAGTTTTGTTCAGAAAAATACTGGAAGGAGAAGATAATCCTGCATGCCTGTGGATGACTTTTATTTTCTGTTGTATCTTTCTGCATTTCCCAAATAGTTTATAGAAAAGCTTAAGAAAGAACTCGGCTGTCTGAGTCTGTCAGGTTCTCCACACCACTTTAACTTTGATATATTTCTTTGAAGTCATGTGGCGTTCTGCGGGACTAACTGGCGTTAATGCAGATGCATTATCTCTGCAGGATAACGGTCCGTGCCCATTGCCGGTGGTGCACTCTTCCATCTGTGGTGGTCCCCCCTCTACGTAGATCAGAGGGGCACCTTTATAAGTTGTGCGACTTAGGTTTGAGAAGTAGCCCTTAGAATTATACAACTGTGCAAGCCTTAATTTCATAAGCACCATGAATGACTATGTTTTTGGGTAAACTCAAATTGCTCTCCCGTCTTTGATGGGCTTATCTTTTACGTGTGCTGAGAACGTCTTAATGCATCCTTGTTTGAGATCTAGCTGTCATGAAAGAAGCTAATATGGGAAGTTTTTAAGACTGCTTTTAATTGATTTTAGGCAGATTCATTTAAAAATTAATTTTGTATCTTTCAAAGTAAGCTGTCTTTGAAATTTTCAAATTTCATTCTCATATATATTTAAAAGTATACCTATATATTTGAACAAAAGAGTGCAGTTCTCCATGTAGTTGGTGCACTTCACCTCCTCCAGTATATGGACTACAATTCAGGTAGCACTGTTTTGGAGCTTCAGGAGTTGGATTACCTGTCATCCTCTGGTGGTATCCGTTTTTGTGAAATTCATGCTTAGGATGCAGGTACATATTTGGCTGCTGCATATGATTAAGGCTTACACTATTCAGATGTTCATTTAAACATTCTACAAATGCCAAGCAACTTGTATGTAGTGGAGAAGGATTGCATCAGATGCCAAGGGTTTAGGAGTGAGCAAGGTAGGCAAGGTTCACTGGAGGGTGTTGAACAAAGGAGCAACAGGTTCTGTCCTTCAGTTTGGAGAAACGGCTTCTGTGTTGCAGACGTCTGAGAGCAGAGCATAGTGGAAGCAAGAAATCCAACTTAGGACGCTGTTAGAATGGTCTAGGGCAGACAGCATGGTCCTTTAGAATAGGACGGTAGAAGTGGACATAAGGGGTTAAATTCTGGGTGTTTCTAAAGATAGAGCTGAATATGCTCGGGTGTTTGTCATTGTTTAATTACTGTGCTTCTCTTTTTATTTTTAAAGATTGTATGTATTCATTTCTGGAGAGGGGAAGGGAGGGGGGAAGAGAGGGAGAGAAACATTGACCTAAGTGAGAAACATCAATCACATGCCCTGGCCCACGACCCAGGACCATGTGCTGATGGGGAATCCACCAGCGACCTTTCAGTTTGCAGGACAACACCCAATGCACTGGGCTATACCAGTCAGAGCTCCGTTTACCTTGTAAATGTAACTGGGGAGTTCATAGAACCTGTAACCGAGTAAGTCAGCATTTAAAGATTTTGTTAGTGGAGTTATGACCTGGATCCATGGGTGAAAAATGCCAAATAGTAATTTGAAATGTGAAGGGTAATTAATATCTTTGAGTGATTTCCGAAGGGATACAGTGCTTGGTTGATTTTGATTTGTGTTTTGTTTAGTTTGAATGGGTATCAGTTTGTATGACAAAACATTACCAATTTGGTTATGAAAATAAAAGTATCAGGAAAAAGCTTCATATTCTAGTTATGCATTTCCCAATGAGATTATAGTAACATATTTAATTCTGAAGTCTGTATTATCTCTAAGGTATTTGTAAAGAGGATGCTAAAGAAAAACAGATAATTTTCTAAACATGAATTTTGAGTTGGGGAGCGTTGCTGCCATCTTTTGAGGTGTGGAACCTCTAGTGTCAGTACTGGTAGAATAAATGTCATTTCTGATTAATAGGTTTTGTATGTTAAAAACATTTTGAAACGTGTGTTTCTAAGCTTTTAGTTTTGATGCTATGAGTAGTTTGGGCTTCATTTTGAAGCATCCTGAAATACGTGTCTTTTTACACAAAAGTGGTTGTTTATAAAGTCGGAACAGCATGATACTTAGAAATGGTGCTATGTCCTGGACCCAGTTGTTGGAGGTAGTCTCGGAGTTTTCTTTGTATTCTCTGCTACAGAGAAAGAATTTTGATTTTGCAATCAATAAAAACATTTCTCATCCTTTCTTGATACTAATTATAGTTGTTTTCAGCAGAGTGGAGGAAAAAATGGAAGGTGTGGCTAAGTTGATAGCTATTATGATTTAATTTCATGTTTTATATGAATTAAATGGGTTACTCTTTTAATGTAATATGTGGTATGATATTTTATCATTACAAATAATTAATCTCTTTGTATTTGTTCACATATAGTAGCCTGAAATTCATTATTTGTCCCTTCAGAAACATGATAACACTTTTCAATTTTTTATAATCTTTGTTAAAGATTTTAAATCATTGTTGTCTTGTTAAAAAATACTGTCCCAGATTTGCCTTTCTTCTGTTTACAATCAATGATGTTACTTTTCTAAATGTATTTATACTGTTTTAAACCCTTCGTGTCCTCAAATAGGTTTGACCGAAGAAGTGAGGTCTTGACACTAAAGAAAATCACTCTTGGCCTTTCACCTCGGCCTCAGTTTGAAACAGTGTAGATGATCATTGAGATTAATATAATCACTGCAGTTCTTCCTTATCATCCTACAGCTGTATTTTCTTTTTCATTTTATGTAACTTAATTAACCAGTTTAAATGATGATCTATAAATATTTTAGGCAACATTAGCCTACAGGGAACATATTTTTGTTTTAAATCTCATTGTTTAATGTTTCGGAAGAAATATCAATACTAAACATTAAAATGCTTTGATAATATTTATAGATAAAACTAGTATATTTCATTTTACCTTTTGGAAACTAGCATAAAAATACTCTTAGGGTTCTAACAATCTGTTAGGAGGTTGGAAAAGAGGGTTTATTCTTTGAGCATCTCTCCAGAGTTGAAGGCCAAAGGAGTGAGTGACACCTAATGTTTTCCCAAGTGTATCTACTTAGGTTTAAATCTAATTATTTAAATAATCTACTGTTGGTCTTTCAACCATTTTTAGTTCTCGTTGTAATTTAATAATTATAAATCCAGGTGACATTGTCATGTTTTATTTTACTAGTAATTTGTCACTTTTCACTAGTACTGTACCATGGTTTGTTGTGGGTTTTTCCTGTATTTGAACATGCATTTCTACAGTGTTTTCTACACATGAAAGTTTTTATAGTGTTGTAAATTGTCTTTATGATGTTTTCCTGAAATAGTGTCTCCTAAATTAGCATTTTTGCCTTTGCCAGCACACAAATTGGATCATAATGGCACTGCATGTGGTACTGGTGACATTGGTAGGTTTCCCTCCTGCAGTCAGGTTACTGGAATATCTGTAGTCATGACGGGAAGAAGCCAAAGTCCGTGCGTCCAAGCAACAATGTTTGTACTCAAGGCTGTGGTAGGGACGAGATGCCAAATGTTTCAGGCTTCAGGCAGATTATTTTCTTGATTAATATGCAACATATATAATAGTTATCCATTACTTGTCCAGGCAACATTGTGTATTAGCCTGAATTTGGATTTCATGTTACCTGTTTGAGAGTTTACCTGTTAGTTTAGTGGAAAGAGTTTTACCCATAATCCAATCTCTGCCGCACTGTCTAGAGTTACAACACGGTTAAGTGGAGTAACATTCTCTGAGCTTGTTTCTTGACCTTTAAAATGAAAATGAGAATTACACTGATCTAAAGAGGTAGCTTATATTTTAACGGTATCTTTTTGTTACTGCTAGTTTATTTTACACAGTAATTATTTTCTATCCCATACTTAAAGTATAAATGTAAAGTTATAATTTCAGTTATTTACACATGGTATTTGAGCAGAAATCTTAGTAGTGTGCAGTGACATTTTCAGGGACTATATGATGATAGTGACAGCTTTTTAATTTGAGCCCAATGTCCTTAATTTTAGCATTAGATATGTTAAAGTATCATAGCGGTGTTCTGTTACATCCTTATCCACGAACAAGTCAACATGAACTCCAGCTACAAGTGTGTGCGAAGTCTGTATTCTGTGCCTAAATATCTGATTGGTCATTTCTACATAGGTTTTGTATTGACCAAATCAGTATTACCTGTTTCACAAATAATACAGCTATATTTCTTTAATTCTATATATTCTGCATTTAAGGGTTTGATACATAGTTGTTCATCCTCCCTTGTTTATGTGCCTGAATTGTATGTGAGTTTAACTAATTTTCCACTCAAGCTGTATTTTCTCTTCCCTTTCTTACATATTTGTTTAATTGTAGGTAGCTGTCTCCATCCAAACCTTTTTTTACAAAGACAAAATAGAGTATAAGTGTAGGCAGTTATCTGAGAGCAGTTAATGAGAGGAGAAATTTATAGTGACAGTTCAGATTAAGCAAAGGAAGAAGGAAAAACAGTGAGGAAGACAGGGAAAAGGAGGGATATTCACTTGAGCACACCCCAGTAGAGTAGGAAAACCTCACATGTAACTAGGGAAAATATGCTGAAAATGCCAATACAGGAAGAATGATTTCAAACTCCCCTTACCTTTCGACTGTTGAGGATGTAACAGGTGATGACTCTAAGTCATTTAGTCTGCCCCCCCACTGATGGCAGTTTTCTTTTTCAAGATGATGATTATTCTCCACCTACCAAGAGACCAAAGAGCAACGAGCCACCCCAGCCGCCAGTCACAGAACCTGCCAATGCTGGAAAACGGAAAGTGAGGGAGTTCAACTTCGGTAAGTTCTTGATTAAGTACACACCCTTTTTCTTTGATTGTGAACTTTGTGTGTTACTGATAAAAGTTTTGACATTCTTTAGGGGTGTGTTTCCAATGTATTACTATTTGATCATCTACTCTGAGGAAAACCATGGACAGTTTGAAGTAACTTGACATTGTTTAAACATAGTTTGGGTTTACCAGAGCATAAGACGTTGTCTTTGTGATGTTAATTACAATTAGTAGACTTTAAATCAGTGTTCATGACTTAGTAATTTGATTATTTTTTCAGCTTTAAAACCTCTATTTTTTAATATTTTCATTATTTTTTCCTTTTTGTGTAACTGTCAGCAGCTAATCTAACCAAAAGGCTGTTGCCAGTGGCCTTTTGAAGGGACTAAAGAAAATATGAGTAGCAAATTGTGTTTGTGATGTCCATATTGAGTAGATAGAACGTTTACTGTATAAAATATTCAAGATAGCATGTTAATATTTTAATTTGTCGTACGGTGTCATGTTCATAAAACGTAGACGTGATTTAGAAACATTCCTGAATGACCTTGGAGACCTCACTCTTTTTTTGCCTTCACTTCGTAGTCTTTATTGTATTACAATGGTCTTTCTGCCCTCCTGCTTTTCAGAGATTATAAAGCTAAAAAATAGGGACTTGGTATGAAGTGTTTCAAAAATCAACTTTAAAACAGCTCCTATTGAACCAATTCTAAGAACCACCAAAA